CGTAATAAAAAGTTTTACTTTAAATTCTTACCTTTTTTTTCACTTTGTTAACCTACACCAATAATTTGTGAACTGCTTAAAATACCTTCCACTTCCATTATGGAAAAGAGATTTTCAGGGTAACTACTCTCATTCACATCCCTATATATATATATATATATATATATATATATATATATATCGCAAAATTATGTCCATAAACATAATCAAACATCAGTATATCATCTAACAACACTTTATCATATGACATCCATTGTTTTAAAGTAATCATTCCATCCATCTATTTCAAACTAGGATACATATGTATACGTTTGTATGAACAAAAAAAAGGATAAGTAAAGGCACATTAAAATATGGTAGATTACAATTAGGCTGAATGTATTTTTGAATGAAAGAAAGGATAGAAATATCTGTCAGTGGTAAGCAATTTAGGAACTCTTTTTTTCTTCTTAAGTTGGTATTCATCATTGACTGACATCAGTTGGAGGAACATTGGAAACCTGAAGGCACTGGGCAGCTGCACCGTCTGACTAGTACGGGAATCTTCAGTAGTGTTCACCTACAACCCTGACAGGGATCGAACCCACGACCTTCAGTTTCCATGGTCAGCACGTTACCGTTGAGCCACTGGATTGGAATCCAGTGGTCCATATTTCCAACTTCGGACAGTTCATGAAATAGCAGGACCGCCACCCAATGTCATCGTTGAGTATTTATCTTCATGGCCACCAGGTTTGCCTCACTGCTTATGACTTCTCACTGGAACTTCGAGAGGTGATTCACGAAGTTCCTGCAGCTTAGCAGAAAACTTTTGATAAAAAGCCTTGTGGTGCATTTTTGACAAGAAAAGCAAAAAAAGTGTGTGTAGAACTTATATCTTAATAACACTCAGGTAATTTACTATCACAATGGACTGACAATCAATTTATTTTTGAGACGGATGGGGAGTTTTTAATTTAGAAGTAGTATTCATCATGGAGTGACATCAGTTGGGGAACCATTGAAATCTGGGAGCACTGGACACCTGTTTCATCCAACTAGTATAGGACTCCTCAGCAGTACGCACCCACGACCAGGCCAGGGATGGAGCTTAGGACTTCAGGTTTCATGGCGAACGCGTTAACCACTCAGCCACTGGGTCAGTTTCAGGTGGTTCACAATTTCCAACTTCTGTCAATTCACGATATAGTGCGACTATCACCCAAGGTTTCTAATGTTCCTTCAAATGATATCAGTCTACGATGAGTACTAATTTTTAATAATCTCTAAATCCCCACAAACACCCAAATTCAGTTTAGGAATTCATTCGAATTGTAGTATGTCAACTCAACTACTACCTTTTAAATCTAACAGTTTATCTAGGGCTGTCGATATTTTACAAACTCAACTTTATTTTCTTTCTTCGTAAATTTGATGCCAGGTAAACTGAAGTAAAGTGTTGGATGAAAAATGTTTAATCCTATTCAGTTAATCTCAGGCAATAGTAATAAATCGATACAGCGTTCTGAAATTTGTCTTCATACTAAATGTAAGTTAGACCAGTGGGATTATAATTCGTTATAGTTTTTAAGGTAGTAGTCATCATAGACTGACATTAAGTGGAGAACCATTTAGAACCTGGCAACCCGGGCAGCTCTTTCGTTCAAGTATGAGACTCCACAGTAGTAAGTACCTACAACCTCGAAAGGGATCAGACTCAGAATCTTCAACTTTCCCTCCTGACATGCTAATCACTCAGCCACTGGGTTTGAGTTCAATGGTCTACAGTTTCCCGCTTCTGTCATTTTGTAATAAAGCGCGATTATCCATTGAGATCTTTAGTTGGTGTCTGCTTCACTTACGACTGGCTGACCCCATATGTCACGACTTCTAATTAAAACTTCAGCATATCCTTCTTGAAGTATGAACACTAACTTAAAAATGAAACACACGCTAACCTCAAAATAGATTTTAATTCCTATGTGTAAATTACTCGAGAAGTTCCTGTGTGATTAGGTTGTTCAAAATGTATAGTACCAATACATCATATATTTCAAACAAAATCCAGCTTTTTGTCGGTTTCCCTAAACTTAATGAAACTGAATGTAATCATTGTGTTAATTGATACACTTGAAATGATGAGTGACAGAATGCTTGAAGTCCATTTTCAAAGCATTCTACTGATTCACTTCAAGCACCTGAGATTTACTGAATAACACTAAAATTTGTCGCCCAATATCTTGCTCCAATTAACTATTATCTATCATACTTTCTACCAATGTATGTATTTCAGTTTCAAGAGGTCTACCTCAAGAAATCCCTATAAATAATAATATTTATTCAAAATGATCTCAAGCAAATGAATCTACTAGTAAATGAAAGCTCTAATTCTCCCTGATATTAATGTGAACAACCGTCAAATGTAGTATTATTTATTGAAACTGAGGTTTACATAAGTCAGAAAAAAATCCAAAACAATACTCTTCAATAAATTATGAAACATGGGTTTATGATAGTAAGGCAAAACTATGGTGTTGATGGCACTGAATGAAGCATATTTATCGAAGGGTGAATTCCAATAAAACAACAATGCCTTCCCATAGTCTATAAACTTTTGGATCAATGTTATTGTTCCTATGTTATAATTTGTTGATGGTGGCTAATAGTAACACCCAGGACACGCATAAGGTCTCCTCATCACGTTGTTTAAATTTATCAAGGTGACTAATTATGTCAAGTTTACTAAATTTGATCTAAATGCTTCTTCATAATTTTTTTCAACAGGCAGTATATTTATTTTTTTGTATTAGGTGCTATACTGCACTGTACAGTGGAATCAAGGAAAATTGGGCAATAAAGTCGATTTTATCTTCGTAATTCTTCTCATTTAAAACACCAAACATGGATTCCTAAGCCTCATTAGGTAGCATGTGAACATATGTGCTGAACATTGCCTGAATCATCCCCACACGACACTATAACTCAACGCCTCAATAAATCACTCAGTAACTTAGTGTAATGAATTATAAAGCTAAACAACTGGTCATAGACTAAAAAAGTGGTCATGTTATCTAAAAAAATGTAAAGATCATCCCTGCCGAGTTATTTTGTTTGCTTGAATAGTAGTTGTTCCTGATGAAAACAGTTTTCATATAATTTAGATGATAGATATTAAATGTTAAATTATCATAATTTGTGCTTATAAATTATCACGGAGTCCTTGCTCCAATCCGTTTAGCGTTAAACTTCAACGAATTGTACAGTTAAAGACTTTTTTGAGTGTAAAGACGAAATGACGTAATTTAAAGACTTTGAATAATATGTAAAAACTTTCTAACTACTAGTACATAGATGGTGAAGTCAATATGATCAAATTATAAACAAATTACTGTGTTCAGCTTTATGCAACTGTTGTTATTTAAATTAAAGCTTCTCTAAAGTGCTTAGATCAACTTCAGATTGAAATGAATAGATAAGGACCGTTTCATAAATCCATCAAATATGCAACTTTTGATCCGGTTTTAACTTTGTACCTTTGAAGTTCAACTCTTGATCAAGTCAAAACCATTCAGTTAGATTTCTTTTCCCCCCACTAAATTCAGTATCCAATAAGCTTAAATTTTCACTGTGATTATCCATTACTTTGACCTAACACAACAAAATGTACGCGAAGACTAACACTAGAGGTTTACAGTCTTCAGATCAAAATTTAGATTTCTGTTTACCGATGACGCGAGAAAATAACTTGATATACTGTGAGAAGCAGTTAATACCATTCTATTTTTTGCCTGACATTTTCATTAATGTGCGTCAAGTTTATAACTGAGCATTTTAGGCTCTTAATGATGATTTATCAGAATGTAAGAAAAAAACTTGATGATAAGACAAGTTGTCACTACTAAACCTTTTGATCATCATATTAGTTCAGTCTATATAGAGCTGGTTTTCTTAGATGCATCATTTCTCGTTTGATTTATACGTCACGTTACCTTGACACTGATGCTCTGTCACCTGTATCAATGAAGTTTTAAAGACATATGGGAATCATAAAAACAATATGTTAGATATTTAACAACTAACTTCAAAAGATAAGTTCCTTTTCAGTGCTTTTTCGGATAGGCTATATGCGTCATTCTCATTTCCACACAGATTCATTCTCGCTTGTTCACTGTTTTTCAAAGAGTAATTTGTTCATTTGCTTAGTTGTGCCTAGAAAAGAAACTGGGAACTCATGTTTTATTCTGTTTGGGACTCGTCAGCTTGATGTACCTACACCCCAGTGCGGAGTGGTGTTGTTCCCACAGAGACTTAAACCTCATACCTACCGCTTCACACACCAAAGTGTTATCCATTGGGCCACTGAGGAACGTTGGCTACCTTATGTACAACGCGAATTAGTTATTACTATTCTTTGTACACACAAGCTAATCAACAAATAGTATTAATATTTTCGTTTACAACTGACCAGCATAATACAACCAAATAATTGTACTTTAAATGTATTTGAGATTACAATTTTATGCAAATGTTTTCAAGAATATATCTGAACATATCTGCAGTATCAGTTGTAACTTGTTCTTGACAATGTTATGAACAAAATGTACATCCTTTATACTATCAAGCAAACTTTCCCTACAATAATAATGCAATATTACTGACTAACTTGAAAGTCTGTTTGTTATAGCTAACTTTACATACCAAGGACCAAGGAGTGATAATATTTATTTATATAGAACAAATATTATGTGAATTTATTTTAACTAACACAGCTGAAGAATATGCTGGTGAAATATGCTTCTCATTTTTTTAACGACCTAACTGGAATGTCAGTACTAATGTTTTTATTTAAATGGGATATTTCTATGCAATGTTTAACTATCGCTTCTTAACGTTCAAAAACAGTTTACTATTAAATTAATCAGTGGGTAATATTTTCTGACTAAACTAACAATGAATATTTTCTGATGCTAATCTTGGTTTTCTCAAAAAGTCAGTAGACCACGATTTACCCCCTTTTATAGAGTTCAAGTGCCATTTATCCACCACCTATGGATTGGATACGTCGACGACGCAGCCTAAGTGGAACACCATTTAAAACTACTTGCTATCCAATGATATACTATTCTTCTACAGCACTTCCCAGGAGGAGATCATTATGCATCCCACGTCATCAATATTCACTTCAGCTCAACGAAATGCATATCTTGAACCAGCGCGTGTCACATTGGTCGGTAAATCTATATGCAACAGTTCACGTCCATATTCCATGTATAACAGTACAGCCAGTAGTGCCTATCAAACCTCAGAGACAAACGATTACTTCCAACCGCAATATAATTTCACTCAATCACATCTAAAACCAGTGATCTGGTATAATTATGATGTCAACACGCCGACAAATAACGAAATTCTGCCAACATCATATTTACATGCTAGTGCACCTCCGAGACAGCATATTCTAACTCCGGTATTTTTGCATTTTAATAATCACAGTTTATTGTTTAATCCAAACTTATCCTCTAACCTTATCTTTTCGTTTTCATATGTAATAATACAAAAACCAGTTTCTGGAATTGCTCAGCCATTTAGGTTAAGAATCTGCTCCATGTTACTGATTTGTTTCATGAACGAGCATAGAAATAATAGGACGAATTATTAATTCAACGTTTGAAAGCTCATTGATTGGATTACTCAATCAACATTTTGGGAAACACTGTAGACTTTACTTTTAATTTCAATTCATGTCACTCAGATTTTTGGCCGATAATCATTAGGGTACATCCATTCGCAAACAATACGCATGAGCATTACTGTCACATGACCAAAAGCCCAAATAAGTCAGTAGTCTATAAAAAAAATGAATATCTTAGCATGATAAGAAAAAATAATTATTCAAAGTATTTCATGAATGAATATTATTTCACTGTATTGAGTTAATAGTTCCCAATAACTAAGTCTGCTGGTAGGATGTGTATACAGGATATAGAATTAAAACTGTTACCAAGCAGCAGAATGCTAGTACGAAGACTATGAAAAAATATTGACAGAAACACATTGTGCTTGTTTGACCATCAAGCGGATAACAGAGTATTCTATTGACTTGGTTCTCTCCACTAACTGTAATTAGCACTAAGGTGGCAGTGAATGAAATATCCTTTGAAAAAGTTTGGTTAATATATTACCAAGCATCATTTTAATAAGTAGGCCAGATTGACTGATTTTCTTATGAAAACGATTAGCTTAAGCTAACATCTCAAAGATATAAAGATTTACCAGACAGATAATTTGTTCAGATATTTTAACATATCAAAATGCTGACTATGGAAAATTTGGAAATGCTGAAATTCTCTACTTAACGATACTGAGATGGGAACCTTATAGTATCTATTGTATTAGCACACGGTATTCATTATTGCATAATCTCAGTAAGTAACTCTCTGAATATCTCTAGTACAGGATGAGTAGATTTAATGAAGAAAAACTTTTTCAGTGAAAAATTATTCAACAGTCATAAGTTCACAAATCTATAAAGCGATAATTCATACATATGGGGAAATTTTCTAGGCAATAACAAATTTCAGTAGAAATAATCTTCAACTGATCACCCTTTTTTGTTTTGATCACACCTACTTGTCTTTCTCAATTCTTCATTGGTACAGAAAGCTCAAGCTTTTCTGAAGTATCGTTCTCTTCAAAATCTAAGTGCTCTAGGTGATGATGTGAGTTGAATCGTTAGAAAGTATATTTTGATCTTCAAAGAAAAATATTTTTGTTCCTTTTGCTAAATAATTTATTCTTTCATTACCATTTTGCAGTAATGATGATCTTAGCAAATTGAATGTGATGTTATTATTTATTTGTGTGAAAATGTTTTTTTTTTGCATTATTTTGCATGAATAGAATGACATTATCAAACGTTTCCACTCCTAATTTATTTCAGCTTGTTTCACTCTGCTCTTCATCAGTCGGTTAATAGCAGTAATTGAGATAAAAGTTATTAATTGGTTTAACTGTTTTATTTTTTAGTTGTTGTTTTTTTTGTATCTTTCTGGTTTCCATCTTAATCTGTTATTTTTTTCTCAAAGTACAATATCCCATTCAGCCTTGAAAATACATAGAAGTTTAGTAATTTGAGAGTACTGAAGTAATCATATTTTGTTTCTTTCATTTATGGGTGTGCATACGTGATATGGCTTACGACCGGTTTGTGACTGAAAATAAATGCTTTTGGAAGCAGTTAGTCTTATTTTCATACATTTGTTTCATACTGTTTTTTTTCGTTTGAAATGCTTTTCTGATCTGCTTGTCATATTTTTGTTTGGGTTGTTTTTTTATACATAATTCATACAACTTTTTATAACATTTTTCGAAATAAAAAGGAAGACCATTAAAATGAAGCAGTATAATGAGGTTACTTTGCTTATAAGTTGTTTAATGGAATTCTTTTTATTTCATAATAATGTGCTTTGAAGCTTCACAGTTTATACCATTTAATCTAGCCTCTTTAGACAGATTTATGGTAGATAGTGATATGTTTCATTTTTTTAATGTTGATTACCTCATTTCATTCAACAGTCAGCCTTATAAGTCTATATGTTTTCGGCTATAAATTGAAGACACTTTGTGAATACATTCTGTTAGCATCGTGTTTTAAAGTTAAAGCTGTCATATCAAAACTTCTTCATAATTCAAGGTGTCACTTGACAAAACTTAGTAAAAGGATATGCTTTTAAGTTTGAGCTGAAATTCAACTTCATACTGTTTGTGTTACTAGTGACGTAAAGTGTTTCACAAAAATACAAACATAGAATTCAGTAAAAAGGTGTGGAAATTATTACTCTACTTATGTAAGACTAAATGATCTCTGCATTTATCTGAAATGTGTGGTGGAATGCATTTGACTAAGATAGTAGTTCTATAGGCCTTATCTCTAATATTACACAAATTACCAGTTCTGTCTTTAACTATAAATAAGATATGAATGAAATCTGTACTTCAAGCGTTATCCCACTTCAGAAGACCATCATATTGTCCACATCAAACTGTCTCTCAAGTGACGAAAATCACATTTTACACATTTTATTTGTTCAAAAGAATCCTTCAAGTAACTTCAGCATATAAAATTTAACATATATAAAAGAAAAACAATCTGACCTATCCGTTTTAATGAGTAACAGTCATAAATCAAAGCTTGTTCTATGTGATCAGCATCCTCAAAACCAAAAATATCTTGCCATATCACTAAAATGCATTTGACACTGTGAAACCTGAATTCAGCCAAGCATGAAATTACCACTGTGTTCTTTTATGAGTGTCTACTGTATCGAAACTACAGATGAGAATAAGTCTTACTACACAATAATTGTTTCATAAATCATATGATAGGATTACTCTAAGAAACTATGCAAATATCTCGTATGCACTTCATAATTGTTACTAGTAGTCGAATATCACTACAAACTATTTTCTGTGTACACTTGGGGCTCTTTTACAAATTAAAAAAGAAATTGATCAGATATTGTAAAAGATTAGAGACAATTTATCCAACAAAATCCTTTTCTGCATAATACAGTCTTACTAATATATCTCGGCAGTTTAAAAAGGGTATGGATTGATTACTTGTTTACAGAAGGAAGCTTTACAATGAACCTATTTCAGAAGTGACTCTGAAGACCACCCTAGCAGGTGTTGAGATAACCAATTTCGTTTCGTTATTTCATAAAAAGCTACCTTTGTGTCCAGAAAACGGGAACCTGGTTGTTTACTTTTGGCAGTTGCCAGGGTGGCTTTTAGAGTCACTCCTATTCCAGTTTCTATGCTCCTTTGATCCGTGTACTGGACAGTATTGGTTCGTGTGGTATGATCTGCTACGATCCTTCCTGTGAACTAGTTAAATTTGCTTCTCCAGTAACTTATCTAACTCATATTTTTTTCAATTTACGGCAGTAACGAAATTAATATGCGAAATACTTCGAGCTCTTGCCATTTCTACCCCGCAACAGAATATGATACATCTTCCTAGTCATCAAATTCGTTAACTTTCTTCCTTAAACATTTTATAACGACGCAGAATTATTTAATTAATGATTTAGAATAATGTTTTGATGTCCTAGCTCGTAGGTCTGTGTCTTTGATTACACCGCATGGGTGACCAATCATTTGATTCGGTCAACGATGAATATTTACAAGCAATAGCACAAAAACTATACTACGCCCACCTGATAAAGAGCTGCTATAGTAACTCATTGACCTAGTAAAAAACGCCTTGGCATTTGCAGCAATTGATCCTTGGTTTGAGTCTTAGTGAAAACAACATTACTCACTAGAAGGCAGTCATATACTGCTGACGAGTCCCGAACGGGATAAAAAGTACGTCCTCGATTCCCCTACTAACCAAATTTCATCACTAATAACGTTTAAAATATTGTTGTGACGAGAAATATAGATACAGATTCTTAGAAAACAGAAGTCGAAATGGTTTCTGCAAACTATATTACAGGTTTCTTTTTGGCTATATCCAAGAACAAGAGCACAGACTATACCGAAAACCCTTGAAATAAAATCACATCAGTAATTTTCAAGTGAATGTAACTCAAAAAGTAATCCAGAAATATTCCAGTAAGACTAAATGATGTCTCTACACTTAATTTAATAGCGTTTTGTTGGAACACAGTGGGAGCATAATTCGCCGGTACCTTTATTTGTGAGATGTTTAGAAATTGTAGAATGGGAGTTTTTCAGCCCATCTGGTTTGTGACATGCTGGAGCTTAAAAATTCAGATGTTTCCTTTCCAAAAAAAATGTTTTACATTTACTGTACTAGAATAAAAGGGAATAAACCTTTTTTCTAGAAACATTTAAAGATACTAGACAGCTTTATTCTCCTTCACAGTTTGGCATTGATTTCACTTCCACATTTTTCTAACTGTAACACTCCTACTTTTGCTGAGAGTAAAGTTAACTTATCACTTAATTTATATCTAACCATGATTCAATGTTAAATACATTTGTTTGAATGTTTAAATTAACTAACTTTGAAGTAAATTTAAAAAGTTGTTGTCTATTACTCTATGACCATATTGCCCAAAACGATGCTGAATAAAATTTATTTTCTCACTGAATTACATAGTTCTGATAAAAATATTTATCTTCAATTGAGTTGAAATTCTTTCAGCTATAAACTATGACTTCTCTATTAAAATAAAAACTTTAATATTACTGTGAATAGTATAAGTTTATAAGCTAATTAAACATTTAATTTTAGTTTTTAATTTTGCATTGTTCATACTGTATGAACAAATTTATTTTGCGCCAAAATCTGTTGTATCCATACCGGAAAAAAAAATGACAGTAATAATCATTCTATTAGGAGTGTCCTTAAAGTATACATTTATTTTTCAAAAAGTTCAATACTCAAGAGATAAATATTACACGTAGTCCATTTCTAGTTAATGATAATCCATCCTGAAAATGATCATCTCAACGTTTGCAAAAGATTCCTAGAAGAATCTTAATGTACATGCTTAACCGTACTAGTATCAAAAATATTAGTATGAAATTATTTATTGGTTCATATGACAGTTTTGGTTTGGATATTAGGATGTGTCCAATGTACGATGTTGGATTTTTGAAAATTCAGACACTCAGAATTGTTCAGCTGTATTATGTTTCAGATAAAAGTTTGAAACAGTTTTCAATATCTATAGAATATGTTTTAAGGGTTTTATTCAATATGAATTATTAAATAGATGCTTATCATCTAATTGTCACATTCTCTGAGATCAGTAACAGACAAATCAGTAACTCAGAATATCACAATTCTGCTTCAGTTTAGTTTGAGATCACAGATTTTATTCGTACTTCTTTAACAGTCCTTCTATAAAATACCAATGAAGATGGTATTATGCTTTTTCATGACACAGTGGATCCTAAATGGTTTTATTAAAGAGGGAGTAAAATAATTGGTTTTATTTTCGATCATTTTTCATGAAACATCACCTTACGCTGTTATTAAATTCAAGATTTCACTTTCTTAAAATCTATTTATGACTGTTCAACTGTACTCAATCGACGTCTTTTCATTCATAAAATTGTCTTCCAAGTTCTGTCATCTGTCTACACCAACAATAATATCATTGGTAAACGCCCTTGGGAACTCATGGAAAATAGAGTCTTTTTATGATTTCTTGAGAAAACTAAAACAGTTGTAGATTTGGTTGATAGAATTTCTTAATAGTTTCATCTATTTTTTTACATCCTCAATGTTTACCTTCGGTCTGTTTGTCAAATTTGTCTAACATGATTTTATGCTTTTTGTGAGTAACAATAAATGTCACTTAAGCAGTTTAAAAATGGAGTCCGTTTCATTCGCTGTCATCCATTCGCAATCACTTTTCAAAACCTAAACTTATGATAATCTTTTTTTTCAATTTTGTCCATAGGAAGATAGTGTACCACGCATTATTCATACATCGTATAGTCGTAATTTTCCAATGCATACAAATCGTCTGAGTTCAGTACCGCCGTCATCAGTTGGCACCTACCGTTCAACAATTACTACTTCAGACTATGGTTTACCGCCAATTGTTCACCGAAATTATAGTCGAACAAGTCGTCATGTTTATGAGACACCATATTACACAACACAATATGTAAGTGGGCTTTATTTTATTTATATTCACATAGATACCACCTATTTTCTTTCGTTGTTTGTATCACTTTGTGTATTTTAGGATGCAACTTTATCCGATTAACTCCTTATATTTCACTGTGTAAGGTGAAAATTTATTATTCACAATAGTTATGATCAGCACTACTGTTCCAATTACAAAGTTAGTTGAGTATTCAGTGACTCAGAAACTAAGGACTTAAATTGCCAGGTATACTTCCTTGGTAACTGTTATAGTTCTTAATATGATTTCTAAGATCTTCTTAAGAAGCCGTAAATTTCCGAAACCTTTTACAATGAGTCGCTTTGCTTCGAAGTTTCAATAAGAAGTACTCGAATCAAATTGTAAATACCAGATTGATTGAAAAAGCAGAAATCAATGAAATATGACATTCTAGAAGGGCCTAGAAATAGTCTAAGCCATTGTAAATTTACATAAACCGTTGTTTCTGCATACATTTTGACGTCGTAGTATGCTTCTGTCATATTACCTCCTGTTACGTTTGCCGAAGAAGTGAGTGAGCACCAGAGGTGGAAAATGAAGGTTAATGCTCAAGTTTATATATATATATATATATATATATATATATATATATATATATATATAACGCAGGTTATATTAAGTGGTGACAAGGTTATGACAGTAACCACCTTGCATAGAAGTATATTATCTGTTGACTGATTCCTGTTTGGTTATCTTAGTATTATTGTATGAATACCTAGAAACTTGTCGTACCTACAAATCTGATATTCAGTATTGCTTTCACATTTTACAGTCACCAGTGTCCGGAAAGGAAATCTAATTGACTTGATATATCTGGTTGTAGTAACCCTGGGAGTATCTCCATATTCCTCTCCCTCTGCTTTCGAAAACTGAGTGAATAAATATTACACACTGAATTTTGTTTAAGAAAGAGGGAACTTCAAATTAAAAATTAACGAAAATAAATTCTTTTTCAACATTATTTACAAAGTATTTTCTTGAAGCGTAATTTATGCTCAACCTCAAACCAAACTATGTTTCAGTTTTTCTAAGGAACCAAGAGAACTCAGTTATGTTCATTTCATAACTGAATGTGAAACTTCAGCTGTGACATTTTGGAGGACTGGAAGTATTGTTTTAAGAATCTTATAGTTTCCTTGCTTATATGGTACCAAGGCACATATGTTCCATAAATGCTTCACAATAGAATGCAATCAAGCGACATGTGCTCATGAAATTTCATTAGGTGAATATCAGGATACCTATGAGTGATGGATACTAACTTATTGTTATTGTTACTACCCGACCAAGTGTAATGCATAGTAATAGTGAACAGAAATGAGAATAATGAAGTAGCAGTGGTAAATTAGATACAAAATAACTGAATATATAATCTTTGATTGATAGAATAGCTTCTTATATGTATGATACCATCTATGACCTAATCGACAACTGCTCAGTTTCACGTACAGCCATAATGAGGATCCTTATTAGCATGAATTTAATCAGTTCAAGAAAAACTGTCGAAAATTTACACAATATGTAGTTATATTTTCAAGTGTATCATGCTCGAATAGGCATATTCATTAGTAGTACAAACGCAGTTATTGAATACTGTTTAACTAGTGATTTCATTAACGATGGGTAATGCGCATAAATTGAAAGGGTAAGATAGAATTTTCTTAAACACATCTAACTTTTCCAGCTTCTGGTAATTTGTAAGATCAACGTAAAGATGCATTAGTGATTCGTTAAGTGTGCATTCCAACCCTTCAGTTTCAATGTAAACTAATTTGACATTTTGAAACAATTCACTTTCGTAACTTTTTTTAATTCTGAGTAGTACTACTTCAGTTTGTTCCAGATTAAAATGCTCTATAGTGAGGTTTTGATTATCAGTTCAGCTTCGTCACGTATCTTCTTTTTTTCAATGGATTAGAAATTATTTCCTTCCGTGTAAGCTGTTTTAAGTAACCTTTACAACAATGGACAACATTTGTTAGTGGCTTCAATTTCCCTTTGATTATTGTGGTGAACAAAATTGATCAATCCCCACTAGCAAATAGCCTTCTTAAACAGAAACTTAGACAATACTATAAATTCAATTCGGATCTTATTTTTTGGTTGTGATTAGTGGTGGAATTATGGACAGACGCTTTGTCTTATTAAGGATCCACTAGATGAATATAACTGCATCTCAGTGAGAGATGACTTTACCACTGATTCTCGAACCTGGCATCCATCGTTTCAAACACTACAACGTTATCCACTGGGCTGTTGAGTCATCGGAATAACTAACTGTGTACCGGATATTAGTCATTATTATGGGTGTTTTTCTTTCCCGTTGACTGTAATCATAAGCCGTCTAAAGCTAATCATTTTAGTACATGCCAAGGAGGAGAAACTTTGGTTGTCAATGCACAATACTTCATACCCAAAATACAAGACGGAAATCTTTTGTCTTAGTAACCTAAAAGGTTAAGACTATGGTATTAATGAGCAATGGGTGCTCGGTATAAGTCATAGAAACCACGCCACCACTCACTGAATGCAGGTACATCCAGTTGGTGAGGATCAAACAGAAAGAAACCTGTGTCTTAGATTCCACTAATACCCACCATTAGGTGAATAAAATATAACATTATATGCATGTCAATGTATCTATAATTCTATGAAGATATAGAAAATGTCGCAATTTGAGTCTAGCAACTTGTCGGTCTCTACATGAGTTATATTTTCTAACATAAAAAGCTCACAGTCATTCGTTAATGGCCGTGCTATACCGCAAAATTGAAAGAAGGAGAAAAGTGTTGACCACTGAATTTCAACCCAGTGGCTCAACTGTAATGTGCTCACCGTGAAACCTGAGGGTTCTGAGTTCTATCCTTGATGGGGTCATGAGTTAGCACTGCTACTGAGTTTCATACTAAGACGAAGTAGTTATTAAGTGCTCCCAATTTCTTAATGGTTCTCTAAATGAGGTCAGTTCAAGATAAATATCAACTTGAAATCAATAAATTCTCATAAAACTTTAAATTAAATTACAGTTCATCAGTTTTGAATTTGGAAATTGAATAGACAATCGTTAACAGTGTAGATCTCTAGTTTGATCTATGAAAATTTTATCTTATTTCAAACTTCGGAGTCAATGAATCCATTATTCATTCAGGAGTTTTATTTTAAAACCGATCATTATTTAGCATTCAGTCATAACTCAGATCAAATGTAGAGTTCTAGTGGTAACATTTAAATATTTTTGCATGAATTCTCAGATACTGTCATCAAAATGATGTTTTATTAAGTAGTCCTGAAAAAATGTACAAACATTCTCATCCCGTTATAGTTTTAAACTGGTAAAAGTCAACTTTTCTTCAGAAATGGAATGGCATCACATTGTTTCACTCTTTGCTTAAATAAATTCAAACCTTTTTAAACAGTTTTTCCTCAATAAAAAAAAACAATAGTCCAGGAGGTAAATAATATCCATTCATCACAGTTCCAAATATGTTGCATAATGGTGGCTAATTCTCTGCTTATGCAACAATGATCCATTGAATAGAATTCTAAGTGAAACTGAAGTTAACTTCAACATGAATAAGTTCATGAAAATTAGATGTATAGGAAACAACAGTTTATCAGTAACGAGTGACTTATCTTGATCTTCATAGTGTAAGAAAGTGTGAAATCTACTTGGAATGCATTTTCAGAGCATTTAGACGCTCTATACTAAATTTAGCAGTATATTCATCAAAACTGATCTGTCATCTCTTCTGACATCTAACAACAAAGTGAAAATAATGATAAATCACCAAAGGTGAAAATGTTAAAATGCTAACTTTTCATCATTTTCAATGAAGCAGACTATATGGACTAGTGATGTGTATATGTTCGTCTGAAGTTACCTTTTCTTCATACTATGAAAAATTCATTCTTGTCATTCAGTTTCAGAAAAAGTTCAACATTCCTAGATCAGTAATAATCAGTGAAGAATTAGATAAATTAGAAAAGATAATTCAAGTTTAACTAAGTAAAACACAATAAACTAGTCTGTGAAGAAACATTTTTTAAAGTTAATTTCATTTCATATGTCATTCTCGAGGGTAAAATGTAATTAAAATATTTCAATCGGGAAAGCTTTGAGGAATATTTATGAAAATGCTAAAGAATATTTCTGTTTTTAATGAACAGCTCCATTTAATTTTTTGTACGAATCGATTTAGCCTGAACAAACGACATAAATGACCTATTTCGCCTCGTTAGTATTTAGCAAAGCACCTACATGACTTATATATATATATATATATATATATATATATATATATATATATATATATATACGAAGTATAAGATGTGTGGTGAAATCAAGTTATTCAAGTTGTATGTGTTTCAATTATAATCATTACCAGGCTGTACACCTTATAGGTAGATATAAGTGATAATTTTGTCATTCAAGTCGTTTACGGTAAGAATTTTAAGACAGAAAGCACAAAGTTTGAAGTAGAATAATGCCACCATCTTATTTTAGAAGTTTATCTCAGATCTGCACAACTTACTATGGTACAAGATGGATTAGAAAGAAACTTTACTTTATCTAGTTGATTTGACAACGAAATCTGTTATATAGACAAAAGGTGAACTGATTGGCAAAATGAGCACAGTAAAATCAAATCATTGCAGGAAGAGCTCATTGAAAGGTTGTTCATTTATACATAATGTGAATGAATGAATAATGCAGACGTGTAAAATCGAAAAGTTAAATGCAATTAAAGACTTTTAGAGCTATAAAAACTTTCACATAGGTCATACAAGACCTACGCAAAGAAGCAACTGAAGCCTAACATTCGTATCCAGAGAGAGGCAGCTGTAACTATCTGTTACCCTTGAAAGTCTTAATAAACCTTTATGACATGATACTATCAATTAGCTACTGCTTATTTTCTGCACTGATTTACATTGTAACTCTTATTCTTGATTTTAAATTTTACTAGTCACTCTTTTCGATCTACTGTTATTTGTATCCGTATAGTGCTTATGTAATCTAGCAGCATTCATATTGTTGTTTCTATATTCTCGTATCGTTCATCATTCCATCTTATTTGGAAATCAACAACCTTTTGATGAACTATCCAACAGTAATTTCATTTAGTTGTGTTTGATTTCCTTTCATGTTAATTACTTCCTATCCCAATCAAAACTTCTCTTGTAAAAGCAAGTGAAAAATATCTTTCATATTTTCATTGAAAACGGTTAAAGTTGTAAAATTAGGAGAAGAGAATCTACAAAACTAGATGATGTGATATCATTTTGCTCCAGTTGTTGTCCTTGAACTTTCACATTATAATACATCTCCTCAAAAATGATATCTTCGTAAAAAAATTTGAAAACTGATTAGTCAGACTGAGTAACCAATTACATGTTCTTTAGTCCAGAGTGCTGACTGATCTCTGTAGATCATTTGCAATGTGATCAGCAAACTAGGAGGCTTAGCATCGCAGTGCAATTTGATGGATGTTAGTTGGTGATAGGCAATCAACAGGAGGCCTCAGACCTCGGTTTCGTGCATGTTGGCAGTCGTCAGTATAGCGCATATACAATCTAGAGGGGAATGATGTCTGATGTGGGCTTTGGATAATTCAGTGGTAGCATCGCTTACTGCAACACTGGATGACGCGGGTTTGAATCTCTAAGATTGCAGTTGTGCTTTGTGGACGGGTGCCAAGAAGATTGAAACCTGGGTTCAGGGCATCCTGCTAATCGTCTCTCAATAACTGAAATATTGTAAGGCCATTATTCATCCTTTATTATCAGCACTGTATCAAGAAGACTCTTTTTATTCTCTTTTCAGAGTAATCGTATTTCGGAACCAGTGAAAACTACCTACTACAGTGTTGGGCCAAGAAGATTTTCGTATTACTATCCACCAGTTGTGACTAGTCGACCACTTTCAAGTTCAGGTTCCTACAGTAATTTGTCTAGTGATATGCAAGCTGAACGTAGACGAATCGAAGTAAGTCTGACTATCTTGTTTATTTTACCTTTTAAAAACGCTTTTAAATCTTGTTTTCATTAGTCAAGAGAATAATACGACCATTCATAGTATGTTTCCTTATCTGAAGAGTTAATGAGTAGGAATTTTGCATCAATAGATTGATACATACCTTATGAATTGTCTCATATAAAAATTCATAAGTTTAGTTAAGAATAGTCAATTTTTTGAGTTATCTGTGATTATTTTATCAAATGTCCTGTTTGTTAGGTAAAATAAAGTATACCAATACGTTTAGTGAAAAGCTACTTGTTCATTGTTCCCACAATGGATAAATAATGAATAAGTTTTTCATAACGTTACGTTTTTAATCAGTGTAACTGTCAAATAAAATTTAATAGTCAGTCATTTGTTGTATATAGGCTAATGACAATAGATGAGAAGAAAGGGAAAACTGATTCTGAATATGAGAGAATGTATATTGTTCTGCGTAAATCCAATAAGTTCTGAAAAAAAATCAATCGAATCGCTTCACAAAACTCCAGCATTTATTAGAATTGTGCGTGTGGTAACCTACAGACCAAAAATTGAACATTCTACTTTATGTAGAAATTATTATTATTATTTGTCCCTTGGGTTCGTAGTGAAACACAGGGCTTCAGTAGCACGTCGACATTTCACTCTCTTCTCTGCAGTCTTTTCAACCTGGCTCCACCACTGCCCAGAAGCTTTCATTTTTTCCTTAAACCACCACCTCCATGCCACCCGTGGACGCCCAACTCGTCGTTTTCTCTTTGGATTCCACTCGAGGGACTGGCTGGAGCGTGGTGTCTCCGAATGGCTTTCTCAGTGTAAGCCCAATCCAATCCATTTCCACTTTATTCTTCTGCATATTTGCTGGACGATGGGTTCTTGGCTGGCTCGTTACCGAGCCGGAGTTTCTGGCTGCTTATTGCTTCTCGCCATCTGATCTTCGGTATGGAGTGAACGTAGGCGGCAGCTGTTGATGAATGTCTGTAGTTTGTTGGAAATGCTTTTCGTAACTTACTTGGATGAATTAGTGTTGGAAACCTGGATCTTGTTCATGCTGAGTGCAGCGCAGTAGATCTCCACATTGACTTCAGGTTAGTAAAAGCCTGTGTTGCTGTCTTTCCGATCCTGGCTGGCTTTGACGTCCTCACCTGTACCGCCTGTAGTTCAGACAATATTGCCTAGGTAGGTAGGTGAAAGAGACAACTTCTTTAAGGTTTCTCCCGTTCATGGTGATCACTGCTTGTTGTTGGTTGGGTATCTTCATCATCTCCGTCTTCTCTACATTCACTTGAAGTCCCGTCTTCGCTGCCCGTCCTCTTCCGCCGACTTGTTAGTTTTCGCCTGCAGATCTTCGAGTTTGTGCGACAAGACATTAGACATAAATCATCATCACTGGCGAAATCCAAATCTTCCAGGCTCTTTTCATCGGTCAAACGGCGTATACCCATCTTCTCATTCCTCACAGTTTGCTGCATAATCCAGTTGAGTCCAGTCGACCAAAATCAGGAAGATCATCGGTGACAGTAGGTCGAAACCTCGCCGTACTCCTGTCTTCACTTCAAAGGCATCGCTGAGCTTTCCACTGTGAATCACTTGGCTGGCATGTAGCATCATATAGCATATAGTTGCTGTTGACTGAGGTTGATAAATGTTTGTGGCACTGAAACCGTAGTGTTGAAGCAGCTGTCAAATTACTTCTCGGTCGACACTGTCGAAGGCCTTTTCAAAATCGATGCAGTTGAGGTGAAGAGTTGACTGTCATTTTATGCTCTGTTCTATGATGATCCGTAGCGTTGTAGAGATAAAAACAGCCTAATTTTGACCGAAGCCAGAGAACGCAAAGTTAAAAACGTATATTATTTCTTTATAAATTTGAAATCACTGAAGTTTTCAAAATTATAGTAGAGAATTGTTTCAGTCAAACATACACAAAAAAAATGTATTCAGTAGTAAAGCCAAGAAATACACTTGTCCAGAATTGAACTGCCAAATATTCCGTAACATAAGTGAACTTCAGATGACAAAATCCCTTATAAACCGATATGATTGAGAGGATACAAACAAATTAAAATAAGGCATGAAAACACTCTTTTGAAGTACGCTACGATAATGACACTGCTATTTGTTTCATATCAAAACTGCATATGGTATGTTAATGTCTTGGTTGTATTCTGTTCTCTGAGCTGGGTTGTTTAGTCGTGAAGCTTTCATCGTCCTTCTAGACGACATCATAAGCACTAACTTCAGTATGAAGTGAGCTGTCAATTTCTCTCCGTGAGTGAGTAAGTAGCTTGCCTTGACGAAGCGGTCTATGATTGGTTGTTTCCTTTGATTGTTGTGTCATTGACTGTATAGATTTTCCTGTTGGCTGTCCCTCTGCTAGATCTCCAACTCTCCGTCGTTTATCATTTTTCTTATTGGCTGATAGATTGCGTCTATCTCTATACATCTGTTGATTGTTGACTGAATGACCTGAATGTCAAGCTTCTGGGAATTCTCTGATATTTTTTGTTTCCTCTCTCCATCCAAAATTTCTACATTTCCCAAATTGAATTATGTCCATAGTTGTTATCCACATGCATTGAAATGAGTGATGAAATGTCGTGGCATTTAATAGCTAATTGGTGTTAACGTAGACGAAGGCGAAGAGGGCGACCACTTTGTCCAATATAGTGTTGACTGCAGTCATTGCAGTTGGTTTTGTAAGTGATATTCGGTTTGTCTTCTTTGCTTGTTGCATCTCTTGCTCTGCATAATAGTATTTGAAGGTAATTTGTTGGTTTATGAGTCATACCAATTCCAAATGGTCTCAGTAATCTTGTTGTGATTTCCAATTTATCCTTTATGTATGGTAGGATGATGAGTTTATTTATTTCTGTCAGTGACTTTGTAGTTGATGATGTACGGGATAGGCATCTTCTGATAAAGTTTCGTGGGTAGCCGTTCTTCTTTAGGATGAACATCAAGTAATTTTCTCCGTTTCTCCTTGAAGCTGTTGTACTGCAGTGCGTTCTCGCTCTTCTGAATAGAGTCTGCACGCAACTAATCTTGTGGGTTGTTGCTACTGTAGTTGAGGACTTGGTCAGTGTGTGTTGGCTTCCTGTACATTTGGGTTTCCAGCTTCCCCGTATTTGTTCTATTGACCAGAACATCCAGCAATGATAGTTGGTTGTTTGACTCCTTCTCCATTGTGAATTTGACGTCACTGAAAGCGTTGTTGATCAAACTGTGGGTGTTTTCTATATCATCTTTTTTAATGATGACAAAAGTGTCGTCCACATGGCGAATCCAGAATTTTGGTTTGATCACAGGTAGCACGATGGCTTCCAGTCTCTGCATCACTGCTTCTACAATTAGTCCGGATATCGGTGATCCCATTGGAGTTCCTCTCATCTGTTTGAATATCTTCCTGTTGGATTGGAAGTATGTTGTCAGACAAGGGTCGATGAGTCTCATCAGACTTGAACATTTAAGTTTTGTGCGTTCTGCAAGGATTGTGTCTTCATTGAGCAGAATGAATAAAGTTTCCTTGGTCAACTGGGGTTCGATGGATGTGTATAGTGCTGTGACATCGAAGGATACCATTAATTTATCGTTTTCCATGTTGGTGTTCTTGATTTTTTCTAAGAATTCCTATGGTGATTTGATGGAATGTCCGCATGATTGAACGAGGTGTTTCAGTTTTCTCGAAAGTTCTCTTGATATGTTGTATGCTGGAGTTCCCGGAAGTGTTAATGTAACAAGCGTACCATTAATTGAGTACACCCATTCGTAAACCAATATAAATAACAGGGCTTCACGGTTCCCGAAACTTTGGAATTTAAAAGTATTTCCAACCATTTTGTCAATTTTTAAGCGATAAGTCATTTTTACTGCTTTTACTTACCATTAGTAGGATAATAAAGTAAGATAATAAAAATTACTCTTAAGGATTTTGTCCAACAATGAATGAAGTTCATACTGAAGAAATTTTGCTAAAACAGCATAACAAGTGAACTAGATATAACCCATGGAGATTACTTAGGGGGTCAAAAGTGACTGACATGTTTGGTTTTTAAAATGGTAGGTGAATATAAGTTTGGAATTTGGTTTGTTACAGACTGATGCTAGAAGAAAATTTCTGTCACGGTATACCTAAGAACCGTAGCTTTCTAGTTATATAAGTGGTTTGTCTACAAGGCACGATAGTGAAGTAGGCCTTAGATTCACTTAGTTTGTCATCTACTGCATTAGTATTTCTATAAAATTATCTATCAAGATAGGTATATTGTTGACAACGAAGTTGGCTGAATACTAATTAGGTTACGCCTTAAAGCCTGAACAACCGTTGCTGTTAGTTTTCACTACTCTTCAAAGAATAGTCAGCGCAACACTGGGTAAATACAGTTACTTTTCATTCGATCAGTCTTGTAACTTATTCAGAATAGAACCGAAAGGATTATCTAGAGTTTGCTGACAAATAACTATTGCATCCCAAGTTTTTGCTAGAGCTAACTTCACATGCCTATAAAAAAGAGATTCTAATTGTTAACTGTCGGGAGTACCGGAGAATAGCATGCAAAAAGGGATATCCAGCTTCCGAGTACAAACTTTACTGCATTTTTATTAAGGCAATAATAATAAAAGCATCATTTTTTCAAAAGATTTTTGATGAAATTTCACGCTTACCAAGGAAATATTTTGCAGAACGCAGAAAGAAACCTCTGCTGATAAATGTGTTTCTCCATATATATATATATATATATATATATATATATATATATATATATATATATATATATATATATATATATATATATATATATATATATATATATATATATATGCTATGTTCAGCGCTTCCTGATGCTCTACTATAAAGAATAATTTGTTCAAAGAAGGTTGGATGTCTACTTTGTAGTGAAGAAAATTGTTTGCATCTTTTGAAACAGTATTTTTTTCATCTAAGTGAGATAAAACACTCTTGCTTCTTGCTAGAGATAAGCTTCCATAAACTCTCCCAATTATACCTCTCAAATGCAAACGTGTTTGTTTCATCTTCATTTCATAAAACAATGGAGTTACACTTATCATTGGTCAAGCTTTCCGGGTATATGTCAAGAAAATCACACTGCTAACTGAACAGTAAAAAAAGTAACTGCTCATTTTTCTTAGTTAGAATTCAAACCCAGATTACAAACATTTGTTACGACAATGAAAGAAAATTACACATATTTTTCAACTGAAAAGCTTGAAACCTAATTTCCAAATCCCCTGCTTCCATCTAGCTGATGAATTTGCACAGCTATACCTTATAAGTTGGTTGTCACCGAACACAGTGAGGCACAATGTCATATCATTTAGCCTAATAAACGAGTTGCATAACATCACGATTCAATTTTTATCAGTACTTGAAACTTACAAAGTAATCGGGTAATCATCTTGCAGCCAAGTTTCTAACTTATTCTGCAAAAAATACGTGAAGAGACACTTTACATGTACACCACTTCAAAACATTGTATATATGGTGGAAAATGTGAATTTTTATTTAGTTGAAGTATCTACAGCAATATTCAACCACAACATCAGGTGTCCGTCACAGTTGATGTTGATGCTGTTCAGTATCTATATGGACATACATAGTGTTATTAATGTACCTTTTAAGCCCTCCTATTCCAAGACAATGTATACGAATTCGTTTTGAGAAGGATTTTGTTGAATCGTTGATCGATGGGTTGATCAGAATTGATGTTTAATTGAGTAGACTATACGATTCCTGTCAACACTATCCAAGACGGTACTACTTGCATTTTTTAGCGATGAGGATAAAAATATTCATGCATCTTTTCTTCTAACGGAAATCAGCGGGACAACTGTTTGGTTATTTATAAACTTTATTCTTTGTAAATAATTACTGTGTCATGCAACAAGTATCCTGTTATGCATTCAGATCTAAAAGACGGATTACGTGAAGTTGCTTTCTACAAAAATTCTAGAACAATTTCATTTAGTGTAGTAATTATACTTTGGATTATATAACAAACGGCAAGCGTAGAGACAAGTGCTCGCTGCACAATAATGAATTCTCAACCAAAAGCTCAGATTAACTAAGTCTATTTCAACTTTCTACAACTACCTGTATATATTTCAAACTGTTCAAAGTTACGCGATTTCAATGTTTCACCATGTTTTCTTATCAGACTTGCACAAAAGAAATCTTCCAAATAAAGCCAAGGAATATTTCAAAATAAATTTGAAATTAATTCATTTCAAAAAGCCAAAATTTATATCAGCAGAATATCAATAAATATATTTATTAGAGACCAATACCTGTGGAAATGTTTGGTCAAATTTTAACCAGTTTTCGACTGAAACTTTTTATGACATCATAAAATTACTATTCAGTTACTTTATTAGCCTGATGGTGTTCCATTTTACTAATTCCATTTCGAGGGAGTCGTGGAGATTTGGAAATATTTCAAGTTGTTATTCATCGTAGACTGATATCAGTTGCAAAAACAAAGGAAACCTGGGAGCACTGGATAGCTGTTTCGTCCTAGTATGGGACTCCTCAGCAGTGCGCACCCACGACCCCGCCAGGGATCGAACCCGTGACCATTTCATTTTAATCTCGGGTGGTATTAGTACCAACTTACTAGTTTATCATGATTAGTACATCATTTTATATTATCAATGAACAGAGATTTCAATTTAGAGGTCTATGGGGATTTACTTATTGATCCCAAGTTGGTATTCAAGATGGAATGACATCATTTGGAGAATCACTGAAAACGTGAAAGCACTGGACAACTTATTCGTCCCAGTATAGGACTCCTCCTCCTCCTCCTCTTGGGTTCCACCTCATGCTATATCATAAATGCGAATTACTGAGAATTTCCATACTAGGACGAAACGGCTATCCAGTGCTTTCATGTTTTTAGCGGTTCTTCAACTGATGTGAATTCGTGAGCAGTACCAATTTAAAAATAATGATTTGTCGGTTTAGTTCAACAGTTTATCTTACCTGCTGCTAAAATGAAGATTTAAAGCGACCCGAAATTGTGGTGTCACTAGCAAATTACCAGTATTTGGTATATTTGTTCGATTTTTTCAAGGTGTTTAAAAGAAGAGTAATTGGTGCTTGTCTCTGTTTCAAATTTCCGACCCTCATTAGCTTTGATCATGTACAAACTTTGTTGACAGTCTGTGTACTTTATAAGAGCCTACTGACCGAACACCTTTCATTCAGCGTCATTAAGCTGTTTATATTGCTAGCCTACTACGCTAAATACCATCCTTAAAAAGATGATTTTTTTTTATTTGTACTCAAAGTCTGCCTTCTCCATTCAAAATGACTTTGTATTCCAATGTTCGGAACAAAGAATGCATTTATTTTTATGTGAACAATCATCTGTTAGCTGGGTTTCTTGAGCTTGTATATTGTACATGTTCATTCATGAATTCGGCTACTACACTTCTGTATCCGCTTTGGTGGTGCCGACTAAGTTTTATTCCAATTGATACTCTTTTCATATTGTATATCACTCTGAAATTCATTTTTCACATAATTAGGCGTTACTTTTATTGATCATACAGGTAAGTTTTAATATAATCTTAGTGTTTGAAAAATAGAAAACAAGATTTTTCCGAATGTTTTGCCGCCGAAGAAACTCTGTGACATACTGAAAGAAAACTTTCAGAAAAATCTTGTTTTCGATTTTCTAAACACCCTGGGATTATATTATGCCTTACCTATATAATGACTCGGCGGTCAACTTCTTTCATGGTATTTGTAATAACTATGGCCTGAATGTTTATGATACTTTTATTTTGTTTAAATTTTTTACAATAAACAGTTGTTAAAACTCAGTTTTTAACATTGTAGCATGCTGTAGCTAAATCTTATCGATACTTCATAAGGATTTAGCTTATACATAGTAGAAATAGAACGCATCAGCAATAGAGGCTTTCTCCGATCAAACAAACGCACAGTTAATATGATTGAAAACACAAAAATATTTAGCACTGATTTGACGAGAAATTGCTTTGCTTTGATAATGTAATGATCTAGAATAATGGGTATAGTTTTATCTGACTCATATATATTAATTGATTTCGTGACAAAATTCTGTCGTTTGGTAATAAGACACTATTATTTTGTCATCATATTAGGCAATATATGGGTCTACAGTACATTCTATAAGTTTCTTATTTTTAATTATAGTGTGCTAAATGACTGCATATTAGGTATATTATCTTTCAAGTAATAAACACTTTTTTTCGTGTGAAACATAAGTTTTCAATATTTTCATACTTGTACACCATGTGTATATTCACGCTATTCAATAGCGTCGTATGGACGATTTACTGGAATACAAATTGCCCCCACCTGAATACTACAGGGAAATGCGGGGATCCCTACGTGCATTGAATGACAAATTAGACGCTCATCGGAAAATGCTCGATCGTTATTCCGGAATCGATATGAATACTTCAACTGCTTCAGTACAAGATCGAATTGAATCAAAATATCAACAACTTGCAAGCAGGTTCGTTCGGTGGACAGATATTTCACTTTAGTATCTTCTAACAACAGGCTTACCTGATTAGATTTTGTTTCTGTATGCCATTTCATGTTTGATTTTTATGAATGCAGCGTATGAATTAACTTCACATGGTGTGATAATCCGTTCTTACTAATTTATTACATGTATTTTTTCTTCACAAATGAACTAACATTTTACAAAATGACTTTAGATGGTTTATCATCCAAGGAATTAATACAGACAGAGACTAAATTACAGTTTGATTATATAGCATATCTTAAGAAATGAGAATAACACACATCTTTTTCAGAGATGGTAATCTTTCATCATGACTAACTGACTTCTAATGAAAACCCTACAGGAATCAAAGTTGATTGGTAAGACAACTTCTTAGCTGTTCGACATATCCATACGGAAAAAAATAATGCCCATGCAATCAACAAATCTTCCGGTCAAAACCCACAAGTGTAATAATAAGAATTTCTTCTATATATTCAGTAGAATAGCTGTTTTCAGTGAAATCTGGTGTAGGAATTCTCTAAGGTTACCCTGAAACAGCTACTTACTGCGATCAATACCTCATAAATTTAAACATTTCGGAGTAAATTAAGTACAATACTTTTAATTCATGACGTAGTTGTAGTGAGTTGTTTAGTAATGACTGCGATGCTCACCCTACAGCTGCGCTTTTAATTACTAAAACTTATACAGGTTATACAAACATTCATCCAAGACATCTTCCTATATCTGAGTAGTGTTTTTCTTGTTAAGTAAACTGATTCTGTTTGTCACTGAGCCTTTTGTGAGTTGAATTAATCGTTTTGAACATATAAGATGTTACTTATTTAAACCGACTAGTCTTTATTCACAGACTTATTAGAAAATTTACCTTGTTCGGACTGGAAACAGTGAAAATTATTTTGAGTGAAACATAAGTTGAGATAAGCTTTTGTTCCTGGTACTAAGTGTGTTTTAATGGAATTGCTTGTTCAGATATTTATGAACTTCACTGACGTATTAGATATACCTGGAAATAGTCTTAGATGTCATTTTATCAGAAAGATTTTCAAGGTATTCATATGTTGTTTTAATTGTCCACAAGAGAAATAAATGTCAGTGCGCCAAATATTGGTGGTTATATCGAGAGAAATATGTGCAGATCTATTAAATTTTATGACTGGAATGCAATTTCTTCTCTCGAAAATTACTTCTTATCTGCATCTTCACCCCGTTCAATGTAATTGTATAAAACTTATTTAAGTTGAAAAACAGTACTGATCAGCATGGGAAATAAGTTAGAATTTTTTAAATCCTATTGACCTCACTAAAATAATGTCGAAAAATCTTTCTTAAAACCATATTTCTACTAGTCCATATTATTCGTCTTAGAAGACATCCACTCTGACATTCTTAAGTACTTGAGTTATTTCAATTGAATCGTTTGCCACAGTGATGATTAGATTAGCAATTAATGCTTAAAACAAACTCTAATTGACTAATACTTAATGATAATAATCTATTATAGGCAGCTGATGATAACTCTGCGTCTTTTAGGCAGAGATGTGACTTCAACAATAATCCATCTTCGTTTTGCCTTATTTTTTATTAGTCATGATTGATATACATCTGGTTAATGCTCATATTTTGAAGCAAACGAGCAAGAAGGCAGCTTGTTAAATGGATTGAGTAATCAGCTATCTGCAAAGTATTTGTACATACTTTCTAAACTAGTGATAGCTCTTCGATATCTTAGACATCATTTAGAACACTAGTAATAACTAGATAAATTGCTTGTAAGGACCTTTACGTGTTAATGATAAAATCAGCAGTCTTAAAAATTCTTGCGAAATTGGCAATCTTGGAAATTGAAAGCGACCTATAACATCAATATTACTTGAATTTCTCTTGCATTCGTGAAAATCCCATTCACCATATGAGGAATAAGAAAATCAACGTTTAAAACAAATAAGCACTTTTACACTAAGGGTCTTATGAAAAGCCTAAAAACAGCTTGATGTATCAGTCCCATTTATCAACCATACATCATAGAAAGGTCATAAAGTTGCGCATGGAAACAATTTGAACACTGCAGATTTGAAGTGCATGATGAAAAGTGAAAAACCTCAAGCTTAAGTCATATCCTGAGGGTAAATTAAGATAAAAAATCATACTACCGACGAATCAATTCAGCCTTTAATTATACTCCCATATATGCGAATTTATCAGCTGAATTGCTTCACACCTAAAATGGAGATACTGTTCAAAAGAAGGATAATATATACTTTTATGAACAGGAAATCATTATAATTGTATGTTAGCAACTATCCTTCAGGAGAAATAGTGTACTTACTCGCTCTTCTTCAACAGAATGGGCCGTCGAACCACGTGAGTTCTATATATCATAAACTGAAGATTAAAAAAACCTCTGCTTTCAAATTTTGATTTATGAGCGGTTATAAATTAGCATGATATAATCATATAAAAAATTAATTTTCCCTCAGTTTCATTTTTTGCATTGAAGTGCTAAATTAATTTTATTTCCACCTTTTATTCTTGCAAAATAATCATATGGGTTATACTTTTTAGTGGAAATGTACACCTAATGAGATTCTAGCAGTTTACTAAAACATTCTTAGTAAAACAGCAGTTTCCCTATTTTTTTTTCGCTTTCGCTTGACTGGCTTTCATTTTACTGCATAAGCTAGCAAGATTCTACAAGAAATAAATGCTTCGTTGTCTATTTATTAAGAAAATTTAATGAAACAAGTATGATAAGAGTACTGTACTGCTTCCCGCGTGTCGCATCGCTTACCAAACTTTACTGAGAATATTTCATATTTCTTCGTTTACACATTTTTATGTGAATAAACTTGTTCGAATGACTTACCCCTCGGCTTAAGAACCGCATTACTTGTGGCTACAACAGTTTTTATCATTATTTTAAAACTGAAAGGGACAAATATTTCAGCATTATGTCTCCAGCCTCAATGGAATATAGTATTTCCTTGTACAGTATACAATGAGTGACTATTGTATCATAAGATTGTGAAAACAATCTTTAGGTCAACCTATCTACCTGACTGAATAAAACCCAATATCTTTTATTCGAATTTTTTTGTTTGCTTGAAGATATAATGTCTTGAATTTTGTAATAAATTTTGAAATATCAGTTTAGTGGATTCATAATTAATCACTTCTTGTCTATTTCTTTTGGTTTATTCTCCTTTTTCTACTGCATGTTCCCATTGCCAATATTCCTAATAATGATGATATATATACGTATACATCTGTATAAACATAATCAACTAATGTATTTATATCTCAATATAACTATGTACAAACTTATTAATGTGAATACAAACATATAACAATGCAAAATTTCTTGCATAAACATCTATTTGTGAACTACTATTATTATGATCCTGCCTAACATGCATGTACTATATTCATACCTATGAAACACTATCTTAATGATACATAATTACCGCCTATTAAAATTAATAAACAAATCGAGAATATAAATTATCTCAGGATTCCAGAGTTGAGTGGATATCGATCACATGGACCAAGTCTACATACATCACAACTTGAAACAAATCTATACTATACTAGCCCACAGACAACATTAGTATGTTCATAAAACTGAAATCAGTTTAATAAATTTGTTAATTAGTTAGACTGATCAGTAGAAAATGAACGCACCTTTATAATACAAGGGAAAAAAAATACTTACTAAACTAATGAAAACTGTAACCTCATAGACTAGATTTCATAAATAATGACTGTAACAATATATGTATTCCGGTGAATTTCTCAGTATTTGGACTACATGAACATTGAGACATCTGAGGATTAACGACATCATTCTACACAGAGGTTTAGTTTGTTGAGTAAAAATAATAAACTAGTAAACTTTTAAAGTTTAATTTGTTGGATTAATCAATTTGATTGGAATAAAATAAATTTATAGCTTGTTTTAATGGTCTAAAAAACAAACGTCACGTGAGGTGGCGATTCAAATACACAAGTGAAATAAATAATAACTATTACATTATTGAAGGATATACAATTCCGAGGCATATTAATCATGATGTATGAACTAAATGTCTTGCATGTATTATAGCTTTGCGTTTCTTAACTGTTGTGCTGTCAGTAATTATAGATATGCTGAAACAAATAGTGCATGCAAAATTATTTGCATATTAACAATAGTGTAAATTTTTTTTCCGCATAATTACTTTTGCATAGCTATCCTAGTAACAATATAAAGATATGTTAGAAATACTCTATGTCATTTTAAGCATCTGGTTATGCAACACTCTGGAAGTCAAACATATATACTTCTGTAGATCGCATTCTGATACATTTTCTCTTTCAAATCATTGAAAGTGATTTTTACTCTTCAATTTCGATAATTTAAGTCGCCTGCTGACTGATATCTGTTCTAGGGGTGTATGAAACACAAACATGTACAAATTACACAGTACCATCATTATTAACATACAATAAGCATTAGTGATGTAAGTAGGTTTTTATTGTCTGGTGAAGATATCTTTCTTGGATAATACAAATGTATGTAATTGGTCCTAAATGAAGAGATAATGACTGAATGTTGGTCACATTGTTAATAAATTCAAAGTAGGAATATTACCAAGATTGTGTTGCAAAAGCTTGATGAAAATTCACTTATAAGCTAGACACAAGGTTATCAATGTACTTCAAATTTTAATAGTGGATAACAAAGTATAATTTAAACAATCATATCGGTGATTGTTCAATGTATAAGTGGTCAACTTCAACTACATGGAATATGTGAACTTGGAAATTGTATTGCATGCAAATTAGGTATTCATTACACATAAGATTTCATATTCTTAACAATTTTCTGAATTTTTGTTTGTTTTTTAGGGCTATGGGACGGGATTAGTCAATCCTGAAGGTAGTCAGACTTCTGAATTGCGAGGAAGGATCAAGCGTCTTTTGTGTCGTTCACGACATGATCCACATTATTACCGTTACCTACCAACAGGAGTTGTTTGAAATTCGGGAGTGATCCACTCTCATATCTGATCTTGTTGCCATTGCTATTCTAATAATAATAATTATTATCATTATTATTATTATAATAAACTGCATGCATATTATTTCGAGAACCAGTCTTTTTAAAAAAAACATTATCTGCTGACTTCTACTCTTTACCCTGTTAGTATCATTGTTATCAAAACTTATTTGATCGATTGCTTAGTGGAGACTAGTGTTTTGGATTCTGTGATGCAAAACTGATCATCTACATCGATATACACACATTTGTATGAACAAATTGACAATAAAATATCACTCAAGTTGTTTTCAGTAACAGAGACCAATAACTATTCGCAGGAATATGTCAACTTTTGTTCCAGTTATGACGAAAAGTAAAGTGAATAGCTTTAATTAAAGAAGGCATAAAGATTCAGAACGAAATAAAGAAATGGGTTAGGCTTGTTTTTATTTTGGTTCTCGTTATGCTGTTTTTGTTGTTTTAATTATTTTATTTTTGCTGTCCCCCCTTTTATTATCCAAACTTACTTTCTCCAGTGAATCAATGGATAAAGAAAAATGAACATTTAGCATTTGTTTCGCCATTTTTTTTTGTCTGTTCGCTTCTTTATCCTTATCTTTCTCCTATTGTCTATTTCAGCCAGGGTGAAGCATGATAAACACAGTTTATTTTCCTTGCTTTTGCATTTTATTCTTACTAAAGTTTAGTTAAACAAATATCGATAATATTATGAACGAAAAAACCCATGATGAAACATTTTGTAGGTTGTTGTTTTGCGTAGAGAAACAATAATGAAATACTTGTAGAATAGTTAGGTAAAGTAGAAAACTCAATGAGATAATCTCCAGTCTAAATGCACAAAGCTTGAATTGTTCAACAGATACACAAACCTTTTTTTTCAACCAGATAATATGAGATAGAGAATTATTTTGTCAAAATTATTCATAATTCAATGAAATTCGCTCAGTTGTGGCTAGTAGGGGAATTCAAGATGCAGGTTTAGTTTTCTAATAACTTGTTAGCTGAATGTATCTGCATCCAGGTAGGTGATATTTATTCCCTCATGAACTCGAACCAATTACTTACTGCTTCAAGCATTAGAGCTTTATCCATTAGGTTACTGAGTTGCAGCATCCATCTCTTGTGCAACCAGTATCAATTGTTATTTATTGGTACTTGAGATTTTCGGTAATCATAATGGACTGAATTAATTAGTCACATTTACTTAACAGTTAGTTGATGACAGAAATAACACTCATTCCACTAATTTCTCGATGTTACTGATTAAAACGAATATTTCTTTAGGTAAAGATGTTTCATTTAGTGAATATCTTCGTTCGCAATACACACTGAATTTGTCATACTTAAAAATAAGTCATATGAAGTGCTGGTTTCTTGCACTTACTTAGGGTCTTTGATCGTTAAGTCATGTTAGTTCATTTAACAGGGAACTCGAATTTAAGGACTGAATGTTTTGTATGCAAACAGCTGTACAGTTTTTTGTCTTCATCTCTTTTGTTATTCACTTTAAAATTTTTTGCCAAATCTCCAAAAGACTCATGATTATATACTTCTCCAAAGTTTCATGTTATTATTCAATCGACTACTGACAGCATATGAGCTGATGAGCAGATATTTCGACATTGATGGCAATTTACATTTGATAGATAGAGGCGTGCAGTAGACTCTAAGATATGCGTCTTATCCTATTTATAATTTTATCAGATGGATCCACCTACCCCCAAGTTGATGAAGTTGCCCTCACTCGGACCAGAACTCATCATCAGAGCGCTATTGACTGCGCTGCTAGATGATAATACCTACTGTCTATACAGCAGGTATACTGAGTAGCATAGCTTGTAGTTTTCCGTCTAAATAACCGGACATTTGCAAGAAATTAATAATCTCACCGATAAAGTTAAAGTGCTTTATGAAGTAACTGACAAAGATTTCTGATCTTTTCAAAATAAAATAAAACAGTTCCATTTATAACGTGATTAAAAGTTTTATAAAAGTTCTTTAAAGTTAATTAATGACAGCAGCGTGGAAAAACAAAGGTAAATGAGCCTTTTACAAGTGAACTTAGATTGATCAAAAGTGTCAACTCATCAGCTACAACTATTTTTCTCTAGTGAATGTCATGGGAGCAGTTTTCATGTTTAAAGCAAGCGTATCAATAAAGTATCAATAACAGAAATATATCTGCCTACTGAACACAATAGCGGCAATGATAATGTAACATTCATGTTTATATTTCTATACAGGACAGATATGTATTAAAAATACGGCAGTTGTATCCATGACATATCTCAATGTAAAAATATGCATAACACTTCCGTGCTATCATAGCTTATACTGAAAACAACAGTTAACTAGTTGATAAAAGATCAGTTTTACACTATTTCACAATAATTGTAAATACTTTGTGCTTAAGTTGAATGAGATTATTGCTCTATTGGTCTTTGACATACTCATACTCAAAATATTTCTTCTAGACACATATTCATATTATTCGCAACTAAATCAAAGGAGATGGTTCAGTCACTAGTTTTGACCAGTGCAGTTAGTTCGGAGTTTCTCTGTTCATCATATCAATGTAAGATTTGTAGCTTTACAGATATTAAGGGATGAACTGATTTTTGTAAAATGTACTTTATGCTCGTTAGTATAGCTAGACGCATAGTGTAAAGCAGAACGTTGTATCCACAAACGAGTCGACAAAAATTTGAAATCAGTATAATTAAACAAATGTTCAATTATGACGTATTAAATATAGCAACAAAATACTGTGAAATAAATGCTACAGACCTCTTATCAAGATTACAAGAAAATGATTATTACCAGCAATGGCATATCAGTAACTAAAGTTCCTTTCAAACCTCCATCTTTGTTGATCAATTTGCATTGACTGCGTACAAGACTGTCAATGAAATACGAAGTCCCTAACCGTTAGAAACGTTATTTATGCGAAGCTTTCAAAAACAATCCCTATTATCCTCCTAGAGACTAACTTTTCTACAGGTTGCCTAAATGGCTTCTGTTGAGGTGAACGTCCAGCTTACGCATTCATTTCCTCAGTTAATGCTATGACATCCATCAAGCTCGACCTTGGATTTTCCAGAAACGTACAAGCTTTTCAGGACTTCAAGATGTTTTGTAACTCATGTACTTTTTCTTAGACAAATTAGTCCTTTCCTAAATCGAAGACAATAGAACCGGATGAAATAGTTTCAAAATCAAAGTAGGCAGTTTTAATACTGACAGCTTATGGAGAGAATAACTCTACGAGATTTCACTACGGTTACCTAGGAAAACCGAAGAAAACGCGCACCACAACGTATAGTCTATATGGTGCCGAGAACAGCAAACATAACAGAGATTAATCCCTTCAAGCAGGTGCTAAGTTTTGTATTAGCTTCAGAGATTCTGTTATTGAAACTAAAACATTCGCGGTATATTATTGATGAACTAAGTTTTAAATGAATTAAACAGTTTCCTAGTACTTCAATCGATTCGATCTAATTAGCAAGCATCACTGATTAGTAATAAAGGATAATGGCTGGCAGTAGGATCAATGAAGCGCATTTCATCCTATTTAGGACTCGTCAGTTGAATGTACCTGCCTCCTAGTAAGTGTTGTCCCCGGCGGGATTCTAACTCGGGACCGGTCGTTTAAAAAGTCAGGGCGTTATCCACCACACCACGGTAGCCGCTCTTGTGCAACGAGTATGGTTTTATTAATATTGCTTGTATTGTACCGTCGTTGGTTGGACCGAATTGATCGGTCTGTACTGGCATATGGGCTCCTGTGCGGATACCTCGATATTATCTGTGTTCTAATTATAGTAATGATGGATAGGGGCTATAAGTGATTAGTGTTAGTAGTTTCAAGCCAAGTATATACATACTTCAGTAATCAGCCTGAATCTGTCAAGTATCTATCTTAACAACAAAACAAACAGAAAACGTCAGTGACTTTGTGAATAAGTGCATGACACTTAACATGTTGATATCGTCTAAAAACTACCACGTATGCATTAATTTATCTTCCAATTTTAGGCTAAAGTGATTATCTCTGCATGATATGTACACAATGACCTTAATAACATAGCAAATCTCAGCTGAGTTACGAACTCATGACATGCTGTTGGGGTTTGCATATTATTTACAAACATATGTAATCTTTTCCCAATAAAAAAATAATACTAATCAGCTATCATTTGCTAATCTTAGCATGGTGCTTTGTTTCAGAATTTACGTAGTGTCATGTTTAATGTCAACTTAATTGACTTTTCATGCTCTGCCTTACCTTCGATCTATATTGAATATTTTCACAATTTTCTAAGTGCTTGCTAAATTTTTTCATTTATCTGTGTGACCTCATTTCAACTAATTTATTGTCTACGTCTGTGTCATAAATTCTACATATCATAATTGCTTAACCTTCCTTTAGTAGGGTTATTCATTTCTTTTGATGTAAAGGCGTCTGGAAATTCATAAAGATCAACTATTTCAACTTAACCATATAGGATTTCATTTGACTGACTGACAACATCAACTTAGAAAACTTAAAAAAAGTGACATAAAAGTAAAACTGTATGAGAAAATAAACAACTCGAAGATAAAGGCGAGTGAGAGTAATCAAACTTCAGAAGATGCTATGGAGTAAATACATTTGCGCCACCGTGACCGATTTTAAGCCACGTCATCGAGAGCTTTCAACCACTGATTCCTGTCGTCTTAGGCAGTCTACGTCTCCCATCATGGCTAAGGCCAACAGTCAGCGACTTCACGGACTGGTGCTAGGTCTTGGTCTGACCACCCTGAACCCTCTGCCAACTTAATCCAACTTAGTATTGCTCCTGAGTCCCGGTGGGAACAACATCACTCACTGGGAAGCAGGTACATCCGGCTGATGAGTCACGAATAGGACGAAATACGCATCCTGGATCCCACTGCCCATCATTACTATACTAATCCAACCTACCCTAGCATTCCAAGTAGAGGTAGGCAGTGACTCGGCAAGTGCAGCACATATCGAAGCAACCTCAGTCGATGAAGGTTTACAACCTCATCGGTCGACCTCCATACTCTGCCTAATACCCTTCACCTGATCTCAACAATCCCCACACGGTGGTTTCACCAAATGCAGGGAATGCTACGAGGGCGTGTACCCGCTTAATGTTTTCCAATTTTAACACCAATTCCTGGCACACGCGTAATACGATTGAAGGGAGTGCAGCGCAGTACACCATCCTCCGATAGGCAGTCGTATATCTCGCCGGTCAGAGCCATAGGTGACGCAAGTTGGAGAATGCCAAACAGGCCTTCGGCATCCTAGCTGAGGTTTCGTCAGCAACCAGCCTATTCGGGTTGATGCAACTCCCAAGTAAGTGAAGTGGTCGACATATTCCACTGTAGTGGGTGCTACTTCACTGCCTACCATTAAATTGGGAGTACTTGCCGACCAATGCTTGAGTAGCTGGGTGTCGTTGTTTATTTAGCAGATCAACAGTGCAGAAACCCATAGTTTGTTTGTTCGAGTCCTGCCGCGGCCCAGATTTTTAATTCACCTTCAATTATCAATGAGTAGTAACTAGATATCTTTACTACTGCTTCATTCTTTTTCTAAGCACCCTTTCTTATTTGTCATGAACTTTTGTTCAATGTATCTCACTAGTTGCTTTACCAAACAATAATTTAATGATACTTTTATGAAACTGTATTTCTTTACTTTTGCACGCCTAAGCATAAATGTATTTTTGCGCATCCCATTAATTTGATTCAAAACTAAATGTGTACAGGTAACTGCCCGTTTAATTCTATTGATTTCTTTCTTAAACTTTTCAAACCGCTCTTTGCGTATAACACCCTATGTAATCCTTTTTCCTTCTGAAATGTATTTATGCATTAGTACAAATAAAAATTATCTACAGATAACCAATACGTGACCTCTCATCCCACGCAGAGTAAAGAATCTAGTCGCAGCTAACTACTAAAACAGTGAAAATAAATTCAAGATATCATTGAAATGTATTTTAAAGGCCATTAGCTCTGAAAAATAATTTGGCCGTGTTGCCAGCATTTAGAACCTAAAAATTGTAGACAGATTCATAGACATTTATGCTTCTGACCATATTATTCAAGAGGATATCAAGTATCATTTTTAAAAGAGGAAAGACGTCTCCTATCGATATCCAACTGTCTACTAAGGGCTGAGTTCATTGCGCAACAACTAAACTCCTTCCACTCTATATTTCTCAAAGGTACAGGACATGAGAAGCCTTCAGGTGTTCGACCACCATCGCCTTCGTAGTATAAACTGTTGTGGAACCCCCAAGTTATTAAACTGGACAAATGGAAAAAATCATCGTAGAACCTCGCATACAAGTATATCGCTGAAGTAATATCGGAGTAAAACCTGGGCAGTGTTAGACTGTACATCAATTTTAGTCTGTTTATTAGAAGTGTCACACAGTGGAACAGTATCACTTACTGGATAACGCTTCGAACATAATTCATTGCTCATATTAATACCAGGTAACCCCACAACTTTGAGACATCCTCGATATAGTCCCAATTACCTTGTCTTCTTTGCGACAGGAGTAAAAGCTTCCATATATCTGGACAGGTTCAGAATCACTTTTGTTGAATTTACTTAGCGATGATTTGATGAACAAAGATTCGATCATCAATCTCTCCTCCCACCCAACTAGGCTAGTTTCTAATACTGTCCATGTATCCCACCCTATTGTGTAATCGCCTGCAGAGCTTTTTCCTAAGTTTCTTATCTTACCAGAATCTAGTAATCTTCATTTAGCTAAGTTTTTGTGTTCTGTCATTATAATTGACCCTGGTCGACTACCTTGACTTGTGTGTTTAACCTCACAATCATTGCAAGGGATTTATTATTATTATTTGTCCCTTGGGTTCCTAATGGAACATAGGGCTTCAGTAGCACGTCTCCATTCCACTCTCTTCTCTGAAATCTTTTCAACCTGGCTCCACGACAACCCACAAGCTCTCATTTCCTCCCCGCACGATCTCCTCCATGTCATCCTCAGCTCAACGCCCAACTCGTCACTTCCCATAGGGGTTCCACTCAACGGCCTAGCCGGGTGCTTGATGTCCCCAGTCGGCCTTCTCAGTGTATGCCCAAACCATCTCCACTTCCTCCCAGTGCATATTTGTTCAGCGATAGGTTCTTGTTTCATTGGCTCGTTCCCAGAGTTCCTTGTTGCTTATTCTTTCTGGCCATCTCATCTGATCTTCAGTAACGAGCCATCATAGGCAGTTGTTGATGAATGTCTGTAGTTTGTTGGAAATCCCTTTCGTAACGCGTCAAGTCTCTGAGCCATACAGAAGCACTGACTTCACGTTGGTGTTGAAAATCCGGATCTTGTTCCACATGCTGAGCTGAGTGCAGAAGATCTCCACACTGGTTTCAGGCTCATGAACGCCTGTCTTGCTTTTCCGATCTTGGCTGGCATTGACGTCCTCGTCTGTGCCGCCTGTAGTTGAAACGATGCTGCCTAGATTGGTGAAAGAGGTTAGTTCCTTTGAAAGGGATTTGGTAAACCGAATTGTTCTACTTGGTTGGATCAATAGGATCTTTTAACCTACAAAATACATTTCCAAGTGAGTTTGTAGGTTTAAATGGCACTCTAATCCCAGCTTTATTGAGAATCTTAGGTAATGTTCTTTGGATGCCTTCCTTGTATGGGTATGGTAATACAGTAGAGGTTTTGAATTCTCTCTTCACAGTATTCCTACTATTAATATTAACATTATTGTCACTACTGTTAACATCTGTGTTAATAATATTTCTTACGAATCCTAAGGAACTTATCAGTTATTTTGAGAGGGTAATTGTTGATGAGTAACGAACGTGTCCTTAATGTATCTGGTTTATTGTCTTAGATTTTCTGTCTTAGTAGTAAGTATTTTAACCGTTACTTACACATTTTACCAAGCCAACTTTCACTGACTTAATCTTTTAAAACTAACATAGCAGGATGGAGAGAGAGACTGATATCTGAATCCTTGTTTACGGAATCAACATACAAATATATATGCAACAGGAGTGACTCATTATCTGTTCTGGATATAATGGGAAATCCTACCAGCCGTATCACAAAGAAGGCGAGGAGATTAGGACTATATAAAAGATGTCTCAAAGTTGTGTAGTTATCTTAATATGACTATGGACAATAAATTATTTCCGAAACGTAATCCAGTAAGTAATACTGTTTCACTATGTAGTGAATCTAATGAACCAATTTAAAGAGTTTAACTCAGTCTACTAGACATAAAACTGGAAGCATTGATAAAAATTACATAATGCTCAAAAGATCCGAAAGAGACGATAATATAAGAATTTTCAGGCAAGTTATTTGGAAAGATTTATTTAAACAGAAGTTTATCGAAAAATTAACAGTTGTCGAGGCGAGTGTAAGCGTTTAAGAAAATATCACTTGAAAAGTGAACAGTCTCAAGTAAAAAGCAGTCGATCTTCAAACAACTTTAGTGCCTAAATATGTAACGTTAAAAATTACTTCGCATAGAGTAGAATATCTGATAGCAAGTTAAGCACTAGAATAAATCAAAAGTCAACAAACAAATTATATGGTAAGCATCACAGGGTAGAAAAATAATCTGTAGACTTAATAATTAGGCTTCTTATCTCTTTATCCTGTTAGAGAAAATGAATGAGGACTGTTTTCAACTGCAGCAGGATTCTAAAAATAAAAAAGGGGAGAACAATGCGATATATATTTAAGATAGGCAGATATGAAAAAACTGTAACATGAAACGGAAGAAAGGCTGTATGGAGAATGTAGATCGATAGGAATTTTTTGTAAGATAACCAGAAGATAAAAGGAAATAAGAGGGGTAGCTTCATCTGACTAAGATGTCTATTTTTCACTGGAAATATGCTCAACTTGTTGAGTTGTAAATAGTGTAAATCATAACCAGTTACGCTGGATAAATTCTCATGGAATGGGATTTTACCACATTTTAACCAATTCCCCGACTTCTATTCACATGATATTCTGACTGAAAATCTTACCAGGCAAACAGATTCCAGTCTGTGGTAGCCGAGTAGAAGAGATTGTTAACAGTGACAATGCGACTTCTTCTTTGTGCTTTGAAGTTTCTTTAGCGATTGGATTGGTTTTATGGGGTAGGGTTGCTAGCCCTATGTCCGATCTTCCCTCTTTATCCGGGCTTAAGACCGGTTAGTAACTAGTCAACTACGCTAGCGAAATTCACCATTCTTACTGTATGTATAAAAGTGGACTAGATGCAATCAAACCACTTCGCTAACAACTATTACTAACACAACAGGAATGTTAGTACAATTAGATGATGGATTCATGAAAATGCATAAGGCGATGAAAGATGATTTTAGCCATTCTCCTAGGATATTTGAAACACTAACTGCATTTCGAATAATGGAGGTTACAACAGACTAAGCGCAACTACAAAACTATTCCTACACAATAAATACAAACAGGAAGAATTGGGAGACAGATGACACTCAGTAATTTTATCATTAAAAGTAAGCAATGTCAAATTAGTTCATACAAGAAGTTAAACTTTGAGCGTGTTCATGTACAACCTTTTTCTTGAAAAGACGAACATACCAGTTTGAAACTGAAAGGGGACCCAATAAAAGTGATCATCGCAATCTACCAACCTCGCCTGGTTAACTAGTTTACTAGTTACTAGCCGGTCCTAAGCCCGGGTAAAGAGGGAAGGTTGGGCATAGGGCTAGCAACCCTACCCCGTAAAACAAATCTAACCGCTAAACAAACTTCAAAGCACAAACAAAATATAAAAAATGAAAACAAACTTATTCCCCGCTGGAATCGGAGAGGCGAAATGACGCCAGTTGGTGAAAGCCTTCGGGAAGCCAATTGGCCGATGTGTCTTCTCTCGATGAAAGCGAAAGTAAACGTGGGGACATGGAATGTCCGCACGATGTTTGAACCCAGTAAGGCAGCCCAGATTGCAAGGGAGATGAGAAGGTACAACATCGAAGTGCTTGGGATTTGCGAAAGCAGATGGAATGGGAGTGGACTCTCCAAACTGTCAACTGGACAGTCAATCTAATCTACTCCGATATTGTCACCCAGACGCCAACCACGAGCACACTGAGGGAGTGGCTATCATGATGTCCTCAAGAGCATCGAAGGCTCTCATGCAGTGGGAACCAATCTCCTCCAGGATCATGACAGCAAGATTCAACTCAAAAGGAAGAAAGGTCACAATCATACAATGTTATGCACCTACAAATAATGCAGAGCAAGAGAAAAAGGAGGATTTCTACAGACAACTTCAATCAACACTGGACAAGACGTCAGTTGGCGATATCAAAATTCTAATGGGCGACATGAATGCCAAACTGGGAGGGGACAACACGGGAAGAGAACTAACCATGGGTCGAGAGGCGCTAGGTGAAATGAATGAGAATGGAGAATTGTTTGCAGAATTCTGCGCATTCAACGATTTGGTGATTGGAGGCAGTGTGTTCAGGCACAAAGATATCCACAAAGCGACATGGATTTCACCAGATACAGGACACACTAAAAATCAAATCGACTTTATCTCAATCTCAAGAAAATGGAGACGCAGTCTACTTAACACAAGGTCAAGAAGAGGAGCAGATGTAGGTTCAGACCACTACCTAGTGCAAGGAACCTTCCAAATCAAGTTAAAAGCCTTCAAGGAAGCTGGTGATAGACCTCAATTCAAGTACAACACTCGGAAACTGAAGGATGAAACTACAAAGGAGATCTTCAAGGCAGCCATCAAGACAAAATGGGAGACATCGAGCAACATCCCTGAAGAAACCTGTGTGGAAGAACACTGGAAGTCTTTGAAAGCTATGTGGAAAGAAACCTGCACAACAGTATTAGGAAGGAAGAAGAAAGAAGACAAGGAATGGATCTCGACGGATACCTGGAAGCTGATAGAGCAGGGAGAGGAGGATGGTGAAGCAGAAGATAAACCAGTGCAAGGATGCTCAACGACAAGAGGAACTGAGCACAATGTATAAAACACTGGACAAAGAAGTGAAGAAGAGTGCACGCAAAGACAAAAGACACTTCTACGAAACACTGGCAAGTGAAGCAGAACAGGCTGCAGGTAAGAGAGACCTGACGACATTGTATCAAATAACCAGGTTGCTATCAGGGAAGAGACCAACACAGATGAAACCAATAAAAGATGAAGAAGGAAATTTAATTACAAAAGAAGAGAAACAGAGGAAACGATGGGCCGACCACTTCAAGAAGCTCTTGAATCGACCACCACCATGCACTTCGTCCAGAAATACCACCTGCAGCCGCTGAACTACAAGTGAACATAAATCCCCCAACGAAAATGGAAGTCCTGAACGCCATAAAGCTACTGAAATGTGGGAAAGCAGCAGGACCAGATGGAATACCGCCAGAAGCACTGAAAACAGATGCAGAGACAACAGCGGACATGCTCACACCACTATTGCAGAAGGTGTGGAAGGAAGAGAAGGTACCTGACGATTGGAAGAAGGGTTACCTTGTCAAACTGCCGAAGAAGGGAGACCTCAGTGCTTGCAAGAACTGGCGCGGAATCACTCTCCTGTCCACCCCAAGTAAAATATTAAGCCGCATCATCCTGGAGAGGCTAAGGGATGCACTGGATTCAAAACTACGACCGGAACAGGCAGGCTTCAGGAAGTACAAATCATGTGCAGACCAAATTGCAACGCTTCTCCGCATCATCATAGAACAGAGCATAGAATGGCAATCAGCTCTCTACCTCAACTTCATCGACTTTGAGAAGGCCTTTGACAGCGTCGACCGAGAAGTAATTTGGAAACTGCTTCATTACTACGGAGTACCGCAAACCTTTATCCGCCTCATTCAACAACTATATGAAGATGCCACATGCCAAGTAATCCACAATGGGAAGCTCAGTGATGCCTTTGAAGTGAAGACAGGAGTGAAACAAGGTTGCCTACTATCCCCCATGATATTCCTTATTGTGGTGGACTGGATCATGCAGCAAACAGTAGGCAGCGAGAAGAGGGGGATACACTGGACGACGGAAAAGAACCTAGAAGACTTGGATTTCGCCGATGACTTATGCCTAATGTCACATAAACTTGAAGATCTGCAGGCAAAAACTAACAAGTTGATAGAAGAGGCAGCGAAGACGGGACTTCAGGTGAATATAGAGAAGACAGAAGTGATGAAGATACCGCACCACCACCATCAACAACAACAACAAACTCCAATCACCGTCAACGGGAGAAACTTAAAGGAAGTAACCTCCTTCACTTATCTAGGAAGCACTGTTTCAACTACAGGCGGGACGGACGAGGACGTCAAAGTCAGAATCGGAAAAGCAAGACAGGCCTTCATTAGCCTGAAACCAGTGTGGAGATCTTCTGCACTCAGCTCAGCATGTGAAACAAGATACGGATTTTCAACACCAACGTCAAGTCAGTGCTCTTGTATGGCTCAGAGACTTGGCGCGTCACGAAAGGTATTTCCAATAAACTACAGACATTCATCAACAACTGCTTACGCTCGCTGCTGAAGATCAGATGGCCAGAAAAAATAAGCAACAAGGAACTCTGGGAACGAACCAACCAAGAACCTATCACGCAACAAATATGCAGGAAGAAGTGGAGATGGATTGGCCATGCACTGAGAAGGCCGACGGAGGACATCACGCGTCAGGCCCTCGAGTGGAATCCCCATGGGAAGCGACGAGTTGGACGTCCGAGGGTGACATGGAGGAGGTCGTGCGAGCAGGAAATGAGAGCTTCTGGGCTGTCGTGGGACCAGGTTCAAAAGATCTCAGAGAACAGAGGTCACTGGAGGCGTGCTACTGAAGCCCTATGTTCCACTAGGAACCCAAGGGACTAATAATAATAATAATAATAATCGCAATCTACCAAGGTTTTGGTTTTCGGAAATCTCCAACTTTAAAGGATGAATCATAAAGAAGACGATCCGATAAAAAATATTTTCCTCTCAGCAATATGAGTTACTAAAGCTTTATAGTTGTATTGATACTAGTTGGAAACAAATAACAGTCTATTGTTCATCAAGTAGGGTCCCATGACAAGAAGCTGTAGCAGTCGAAATCAGCATTCTGAGTCATCAGCCGCCAAGGTAGAAGTTTTGAATTTCAACCTTGTTTTTATGTTACTGTGTAGGCGGAAACACCTTATTGAACAATTTTGTCTTTCAGTTGACCAAAGGAAATAAATATCCAACTTCTAAATTAGTGGCTTTATTTTCTCTAGAAAAAAAATGTGTATAAATAGTGTTTCTTGTCAAATAAAGTTCTTTTCACTACAGTTACAGGTCGATCTTCGTCTTCTGATTTTCACGGCTGAATTAAGTACCTGGGCCTTAGGGAGAACGGTCACTATTCGTATCCAGTTCAAGTATCTCATTGCGTTAGTAGCGTTCTTGTTTTATTTTCAGTCACTTCCACTAGGTCACTTAATCACATAATTACAACAATGTTCTAAAGACAGAAATTAGTTATATAGTAAGACATTATCAACACGACCACAGCAAAAGGGGAGACTAACCATACTTTTTATGCACGTAGAGTTCAGGCTTTAATTGATAAATCGCCAAAGCCTCCGCTGTGCACAGATTGTGAAATCCCACTCCTTTGTAACTCTTATTTAACTTTGCAGATAATAGTAAAGGATGACTTTGGTGAAGCTGTGATCGAAAACAACCAGATATCTAAGTGTAAAGCTGTTTCCTAATTCCCGCTCAACTCTCGATAATCAACCAGGATAAGGCGTTGAAATGCATTTACAGAGAGGACACTTTATGTGCTCAATGTAGCTAGGTTAACATTAATAAGTAAACGCATAGATACACATTGAGATGACCCAGAAAGGCAGTTTGACCTCGATATATCAACGAGGCAATTGTCGGATACAGAAAACAAGATAGAGTTTATCAAAAGGAAAATCTTACTTGAAGATCTCAACAACTGTCTCCTCAGATATTCTGACTGATAAAATAGACGTAAAGCCTAGCACACGGTTGCAGAGCTGCCATGATTCACAGCAGAACGCAAAAAGCAGGTAGAGAGAATGAGAATGATTTGAAGGTATAAAACGCAGCGTAAGACAATAAACGACTTGCAGACAACAGTTAGTTCGAATATTTAAGCTGAAGATGTCAAGAAGTGAATATATCTGCGCCATGGAGACCGATTTTCAACCATGTCACCAGCAGACCTCAAACACTAATTCCTTTCGGCTCGAAGACCCAACTACGCAGTCAACATCTCCCAACACGACTCGCATCAGCTATAACAGACCTCATCGACTAGTTCTCAGGTTTTCCTCTGGACACACTGTACCTTCATCCGACCTGATCCAAATCCCCTAGCAAGCCACATTGAGAAAGCGGTGGCTCGACACGCACAGTACACGTCGAAGTCATCTAAGTCGATAAAGCTTCACAAACTCATTAATCGACAGCTATACACTGCCTAGTACCCTTCGCCTGCACCCAACAATGCTCACAAGCGAATTCCACCAAACGCTATCTATGCTACGAAGACATCCGGAATCCAAACCGCGTAACATTTGACAAGTGCCAGAGAAACTCATGCCAAACATACTCAGATTCCTCCTCAACCCATCCAGAAGACCCTGCACTGCATCAGCCTCTTCACCTAGCAGGACAACATCGTCTGGACAATTTAAGTCAACCGCATGCATGACCTGCAAACAGTAGATCAATCCCTGTTTATTCAGATGTGCCTACACCCATATACATCAGTAATTAATTCTATGACGACGTCTAATAGGAACAGTAGCAGTGCATATCACTCAAATACACCACTATCTGTCCCCAATCCAGATGATAACTATCCATACACCCTTCCTTACACGACTCCATCAGTTCAAGTAGAGAGCTTTCATTAGCATCATATACTCGCTCGGTACTCCACGTACACTGAAACACTGCAACAACATCTCACAGTCAACAGAGTCAAACCTCAACTTCACGTCAACCAATATGGTAAGTGTCGGCCACTTGTAAGCGTGTCTGTGTTCCACAACCTGTTGGAGGGTAAAAATATGGTCGATGCACTCTCGTTCACGTCTGAAACCTATCTCGTTTCCTCGAGTTCGCTCTTCTTCAGCTCCAGTCAGGCGTCGTACAACTATGCACTCTAGGATATTTTCTACACAATAATAGTCAAACTAAACACTCTATGTTTGTCACAAGGTTCATCCCCTTCCCTATAGACTGGAACAATCCAGTGAGGTACACCAGGCTGACAGCACTACCTCTAATTCCCACATACTACCACCTAGTACCTCCATCACTCTAGTCAGCAATTTCCTACCTCAATCTTTAAGAGGCTTGGATGGAAAACTATCACGTCCTGCTACTTTGCATAGTTTCAGGTTAGAAACAGCATTCTCAACTTCAAGGTGAGTTGGACGACCGACATCTATGTCCCATTCAGGTCCAGGCTGAATGGTGACCAACTGAAGAGTGTTTGAGGGCTAGTTGGACTGAGTTTCGAAGTGCTCTGCTCAACATTCTAGCTGCCTTTCCTGGGAGGTTATCCCTAACCCATCCTTTTCGGTGATGATCCCACTCTCCATCGTCTTCTTCTCCGCCGTATCCCTAATAAGCTCTTTAATAAGGCCAACGCTCATGCCTTCTCCATCTCTCTCGCTTTCGTCATCCATCACAGCTCACAATCATTTCGAAGACTCTTGGCCAACTTACGTTTAAGTTGCTTTCGCTCTTCGTCGTCATCAGTCTTACCTCATCAATCAGTTCGCACGAAATCGTGCAAATCCAATGACGGTTAGCAACCTTCGGGTATAGGATACCAACTGTCTTTACTCCTGGTTCTACAGAAGACTTAATATCACATCAGCTGTCCTCAGAGTGAACATTACTGCCTGTCCAGATAACTCCTCTATAAACGTGGACTTCACGTCCACATCTTCCAACCAACCATAGACAGGCTTTACTATCGCCTATCTCCGGAGACCATTAAGCTGCAAACATTCACGAACTCGTACTATCACGTCATACTTCAGGTAGAGTGGCAACACCCCCCACAGATTCACTTCAACAATGGCCTATAGCAATGTGATCTGTCTGTGTCCTTCGTTGGTTTGAAGTCAGTGGACACCATGTGAGACAGTGTATCTCCTTATCCCTAAAGTTAGTGCTGGCCAGAAATAAGTGGTTGTCAGAACAATATTGCAGTATGATCAATATGATCACCGTTGTCGGTTCGTTGCCATCAGATTCTGTAAATACTCCCAAGATGTCTCTCCGATTGACTAAGCTTCCCTACTCGAACGTTAAAGTCACCGGCAATTACGACTACATCCCAACGTTTTCCTTTCTGTAGCAAAGTTGACAGATTGTCATACAACTCATCCTTTGCGTCATCCAAACTACAGTCAGTCGGTGTATCCGTAGGCGGAAATCACGAACAGCCATCACCTAGTCTCACAATCCTTCCTAGCCCTACACATCCATTCAGTCGAACACATACACTGATGTTTACTTGGATCCAGTAGAGAAGCACACAATCTGCTCTACAACTCAATGCTAAGCCTACACCAGACAGTCCACGAGAGATAGCCATTGCATCTCCGAATACACCTAACGTGAATTTTGAAACCTCACTACTATGGCTAGGTGAGGTCAATTTCATAACCACACTCCAGTCCTGTACACGTGTCTCACAGATATAGTATACATCTATGGTTAGAGATTCCACAATTCCAGCCAGCGATGCTCGCTCTCCGATTAGACATACAGGTCGGATACTGAAAGCTCTCAAATGAAACTGATGGTGGGATCGTCATAGGAGAACAGGAATGAGGTTTCGACGGCTTCAACCACACGCATTGTTCGCAGAATCAGAGGTTAGGTAAGGTGTAAGAGGCTAAATATTAGTAGCAGGAGGTGAAGGCAAATGAAAAAACATGGCTGAAGAGGATCATTTTTCCTACTGGGAGTGTGCGCGTAGTTGACACTTCCCGGCTGCATAAGGCCATGTAGCACTATTTCTTGTTAAGTTACCTGGAATAGAAAACGTTTAGTATTATCGCAGAGCCCATGGGACATCTGCTTAAGGTTTATCACGCAAAGCTTTTTGTCGGCTGTTGCTTAGGGGTTCGCTTGTTCTAACGTCGGGTAGACAGAACCCATAGCGACGATACCGGATGACTGTAAGGTAAATGGTACGTTATTTTTAGGGTCAATCTTTTCTAACCTCCTCTCCTGTCGGGAAGGCAGCATCAGCGTGGCACTGCTGGTCATTCAAGGGGAACATCTTACTTCTATCACACGTTATCCAGCCAGTAGTACGACTTCGCCCTCGGAAACCCACCATAGTTTCGTGATTTACCCCACAACAGTAACTGCTTTTCGTCTAACCACTATCCAATGGACCTTTCTGGGATGGTAAGACCTCGAGGAAACAAGTGTCTCACAAGCATAGCTCGTTGCGTCATTGGGAAATGCAAGTAGGATCACCATTTCAAGGTAGCAGCTATCAGTTGGGTTCAGAAATTTTGCTGTAACATTACCTTCGAAGTCTACATTCATAAATAGTATTTTCATCAGAGTTGTTAGCTGTTTCACATGTTGCTCCGGTTTCGAACCTGAACTCTGTGTGCAGAGGAAATATGTTCAATTTATCCTTTTACCATGGTCTTGTTGACAATATATTATTACGTAACTTCTCGTCTTTAGAATTTTTATTCTAGTAGTGAAATAAATAGTAAACACGTGATCCTATATGATGAGCAGGAGACTACCATTTGCTTGCAGTACTCATGAAGACGATTGTAAAACTTTAGTAAATATTGTTGATGTTACTGAAATATTTACTTCAAAAAATGACTTTTCGAGAAAAAGCCACACATCGTTCATCAACAAACGATGGTAATACCTGCATCACAAAAAGCATATACTAATACTCAGTTATTGAAGTACAATGTTTCACGCTGTCAGAAATTTAAAATGACTGAATGTGACCATAATATACACCAGGACATGCCATACTATAATTGCTTGTCAAGCTTTGCCCTAAACTCATTCATGCAGCTGAAAATATGGTAATTCCAATTTATGAGACCGTTGGGCGGGTAAACTGATATTCCAACGACAGAGTAACTGAAGTTCAAGAGGGTACTGTAGTCCAAGAAAACTCTCAAAATGCCATATATATACCACAAACTTTGAACTGTGCGGGACTCAAATCAGCAAGTTTACACAGAAGAGGAAAATATCACCATCTCGTAAGAAAAGAAATATTTTTCCAAACAACTGATTTATAAAAAGCACAACGTAGAAGAGCTTAAATAAATGCCAGTGAATAGACTACCTGAAGAATAGCAACATGAGGATCATCTAAGTCGCCCAAACCGATGACATTTTGTTGCGATGACAGCGTATTTTCAATGATATAATAATACTTGGGTGAAGAAATACCCAAGCTCCAAGCTAGTTTCTCTCCAAACCAATCGATAAAGCGTAGCAGAACATTATTTGAAGAAGTCTGAGAAAAGAGAAAATAAGCGTATCCAATTGATATAGTGTTGCAGACATGGCACTTTTAATTATAACCAAAGCAAATATTTGTTGTAGTTTCTCAAAAAACATCACCATTAAAACAAAAATATTTATTGCATGGATCAAACATTAGGTTTTTAAAACGCGTTCTTTAAATACATCGTAAGTGGTCTTTTCAAAAAATCATCATGTTACTGTACTTGTTTATTTCAACGTGGGACTTTAAAATGTTTTACGCTTTTCATGTAGGTAGAAATTCTAGAAAACCTTCTATGGATATCAACAGATTCAAAGCTACTGTTTCTTTTAACACCTCTGCATTTTTGTTTAGGTTCTCCTATACAAAGTGTAACAGCTCATGCCGTTGCAATTGTGAACAAGATTCAACACTGACCATTCAATCTTGAAATTACTTATGAAGAAAATTCTTTACCAAACTTTACTCAACATAAGTAGTAGTGTTCGTGAAGAAAAAGAGCTCATCTTAACCTCGCTTTGTTGTTACAATGTTGGTAAAAAATAACTTCCAGTCAGCGACATTATGATCCTTTATGTCAGACGTGTTTATTGCAAGAGAAATTAAATGATTATGAACTTGAAAAACATCTGTATCTGAAGTACTCAGTGGAAAACTAAATCATTTAACCTTTTACCAAGACGTCTTGTAATCACGGAAAAAATAAAGAACAAATTACCTATCACTTCCAATTTGATCAAAACATAAGCATTACAGAATTGTTAGTCAGTATACCTATGGGTTACTGGTTTAAATACAGCTTCTAGAATCTAATTAGCCTAGTACATGAATATGTTGTGGCTGACAACTTGTATTAACATGCTTCTTGGTATCCTGACAGACTCACTGTTAAATACTTACGTTAATGCTAGGAAATAAAACATTTCGGCTAAAGTTGTGTATATAATTAGTGCAAAAAAGGAAATACTTCTTTACAAAGTCATTTATCTTTAAAAGTATACAACAGGCATCCCAATCACTTCAAGCAAATTGAGTATCACTGAAAGAACGACTTTAGAAAATTTAGCATACTGTTATGTGCCGTAAAAAGTGCACATCAGCCACAAAGCAAGATGAATAAATACTATATAATTATAGTCAGTCCCATCGACTGTGCACAGGTTTGTAGCATGTTTGAAAACTGCATGATCATCCCCAACTAACAAATACTAAAACAGAATCTACTATGAGAAATATCAATAAGTCTAAGAAAGTAGTCTGATAATAGTTAGTTATCAGGCATAAAATAACAGATTACGATAGATAACAACATTAAATTAGTTGTCTTTGCATATCGTTACAAGTTGCCACAGTTCACATAAGCATAACGAGACGAAGTCAATAACCAAGAAAAAAACAGTAGCAACGAATTGGGAGAAATAGGCAAATGGAAATGTAGGGAGGGGAAAAAGTTGTGTTCTGATTAGTATGATCTGCATTGCTCCGTACGACACTATCAGGTCTACAACCAATGACGTGTCACAGGCTTAACGTTTCGGCCTAACTACGCCAGAACCTTTTCCAATCTAGTAATAACCTCATCAACTGACTTTCATCTTCCACCGCTTAACTAAAGTTGCATAGCTCACGTAGTGATCTTACCACATCAATGACAGAATAAAGTCAACAATGGTCAAATACTCGGAGCACCTGAAAAATCTTTTACTGTCAGTGACCATGTTTCACAACCATACAGCAGAACAAATCAAAGTGTGGCACATTTGACTCGGGATTCGATAGGCTATCAGATATTTAGCCTGCGTTGTAGATCTCTGAGATTGTTGAAATAGGACTGAACCTTTATTTTTGGTTTCAAGATTTTGTCTACAACCAACCTGCCATGACTTACACAAAACCTCAGGTGACTGAAGCCTTAAAATAGTTAAATAATTAGCTCCCTATTGTCAGACAGAGTATCAGTGCAGTATAAATCAAAGTGAAAGTGAAAAATCCATCCCCAAAATATCAATCAAGAGGTTAATTAAACTTTCCATTTTATCAGAATGTTTACCTGACAGAATTATCTGTATATTATACGAACTACAATACTGATCCTTCTTCATACAGGCATAGTTTTTATCATGTCTTTTGTGTGCTGGTGATATTTCATTATTTACATTCATAAAAAAGGGAATAGGTACTATGAGCATAAAAAATCCTTCAACTCAATCTAAACTCACGATTTCAGAATATTCTTTTTTATCTTGATCATTAAATTCGATGATACCGTCACTAAAGTGCAAAGATTGTGATTGCGATTTTCGATCATTCATTATTAATTCTAAACATCAGAAATAGATATGTTAGTATTGATGCCAAACAATAACTTTTTTAGATGCTTGATGCTTGTTACAATTAACTTAACATACTTTTAAGAACTACTTTCTCTAAAGGAAAGTAACGGAAACGATAAAGAACTGATAGCAGTCAAGTTAGAGTCTTAAATAACAGACATTTCTGAAAATATTCCTCCATATATAGAAAGTAAAAGATATGTACGCCAAGTTCAAAACCATTATTATGAATGATAAACGTGAAGTTACAATGAAAAATAGGTTTTCTTATTAGATAGATTAGATGAACTAATTTCCTGAAACTTATTTTAATTCTTCCAGGTCAGGATAAATTTTGAAATGCTTAGCGGTTAGGATACCAGTATTGATTCTCAGACAATCACATCAATCCGTATTTAGTAGTTGCGTAAAATGCCTTGTCTATCCAGAGATCTTGAGTATTTGTAGAAGTTTCAAACAACTGTCTACACAGATTATAAACATTCAGGTCATAGTTGTTAGGAATGTCTTGAAATAAGTTGAGCGCCATCAAGTTGATTCATTATATAGGTAAGTTTTAATATAATCCCAGCGTGCTTAGAAAATCGAAACAAGATTTTTCCAAACCTTTCACTGTGTATGCCATAGCTTCTTCAGCAGAATATTTGGAATTTTGTTCAGCATCAAAATATATACTGTCAAATGGTACCTGTATGAATTTCTGTCTGTATGTCATTGGTTAACTGTTTTGTTGTTCAGATAGTTAACCAACGGCATACAGACAGAAATTCATAAAGGTACCATTTGACAGTAAATATTTTGATGCTAAATAAAATTCCGAATATTCTGCTGAAGAAGCTATGGCATACACAGTGAAAGGTTTAGAAAAATCTTGTTTCGATTTTCTAAACACGCTAGGATTATATTAAAATTAACCAATATAATGAAGTGTCTATATAATTTGAATCGACACTGACAACTGTTGACGTTTTTCGACAATTTACCAAGTTTGTATAGAAAGCGACGGCTAAAAGTCACTTCTTAAGTTAGAGATGAATTTTCCCATTATTGAAATCCATGAGAGCAAACAGTTAAGCAGAATATTTTTCTGCTGACCTCCATCTATATTTCATGCTATTGTGTAAAAACTGATCTCAAAGTCGTGTGAGTTAGGCAGGTATGGTGTGAAAAGCAAGAAACATTTAAATGCAACATATTCGATAATTAGTAAATATCTATCACTAGCTACAATGAAGTAACCAAAACACCAACAAATAGTTCAATTCATTTGGGACCAAGTCAATTAGTGTTGTACCCTAAATAAATCACTAATATACTCTTTTAGGTTTCATCTTAAGGTAGAAAATCCTGTAGGATGTTGAACGGGTCATTTTTGTTCCCTCCCACATTTCAACCCCACTGGGGCTTACAAAACAGCTTAAGTGGTCGATGTCTTTAGTCACTTGACAACCTATTCTTTGAAAATTTTCCGTGTGGACCTGCTGCTCTTCATTATTGGAGGTGACCTGCCACTTTCTCGACTTCAGCTAGTGTTAGAGGCCTCATCCGAATGTTCCATTCAGGATCTGACTAGACAGCGGGCAACGCAATAGTAGCTGGAGGCCAGTTGGACTGTTCCTCGAAATGCTCCACTCATCCTTCCAGTCGTCTCCCCTGAAAGTGAAACGCAAACCCATCCTTCGCCGCTTTAGTCTCACTAAGCATTGACCTTTCGCCCCAGTTCCCTTAATAAGTTTGAATAATAGTCTGCTGTCACCAAAAGCCGCTGCTTTTTTTTATCTCTCCAGCCTTCGATGCCAGCCAATGATCGCGATCATTGCGCAGACTTAAAGTAGTCTACATTTGAGTTGCGTTCGCTCGTCATAGTATTTAGAGCCTGCAGGGATGCGTTCGCATGCATCCATAAACTCAGAAGAGGCTGGTGGTATCGGCTGGCTTTTTCTAACCACTGTTTGAGCCGGCAACGGTCTTCAACGCTGTTTTTAGAGCAGATTGGAGATGGTAACAAGCTTCTTTTGGATGAGTAAGGCTTCTGTTCTGATGACTGCCTAGCCAGTTTCTTACTGAAAGCGCTCTTAGTGCTCTCATTGTCCAACTGCACTCGTAGTGGTCTTGTTGCTAAAAATTCTTTACGCTCATTGAGATGCAAATAAATACGTGCTCGAAGCAACGTGTGTTCGCTATCTAAACATGCTCCAAAAGAAGCGGCAGTTTTTCACCGACCCTCTCCAGCGATGCCTGATAGCATTATGGTCTATCTGTGTCCATCAATGAGTTGAGCTCGATGGACGCCATGTCAGACAATCCCTTTCCTTATGTCTGAAGTTTGTGCCAGTTAGAAATAAATGGTTGTCTCAGTACAGTTGTAGTAAGCGTTTACCGTGTTCTGTCCGTTCAGCTGGGATTCCGAAAGTGCCACCTAAGTGCCTTTCTGAGTAACATAGCCTACCCACTTGTGCATTGAAATCACCTGCAACAACAACCATATCTGATCGTTTGGCTTTAAGAAGGAGACTAGACGGTTTTCGGTAGAACTCGTCCTTTCCCTCATCCAAACTGCAGTCAGTGGGTGAGTAAGTAGAGATTACAAAAAAAGACAACGGCGAGTTTCACTGTTCCTCTTAGTTCTCAGTGCCGTTCAGAGCATTGGCGACTGTCAACTGGGATCCAGTCTAGTACTGAGCTTTCTGCCCTAATACTTAATGCTATGCCTACACCTGCAAAACCGCGAGAACTGACCATCGAATCTCCAGAAGCTTGAAGGGTGAATTTTGAGGATTCCTCATATTGACTGATAGAGGTCAAGTGGAAAACTGTACTTGGGTCCTGTATGTGTGTCTTACAAACACAGCACACAATCATGGTTCGAGTTGCTAAAGTTTTGGCCAATAAGGTTTGTTAGTCAGTTTGACGGAGAGTGCAGACATTGAAATCTTTAATATGCAATTTGGAGTCTGGTTTAAGGAGACCAATGATGCTGTCCTGTGGACTCAGATCGTTTTCGAAAGCTGCAAACCTGGAAAGAATTAAAAGTGATGTAGGATTGTTAAGTCAGACGTAGATATTGTTATGGAGGTCTCCCTCTCGTCACCTGATCACACAGACGTTGACCTAATCGTATGAGAATTGTCGTTAGACCTAGAATATGCAGATGATATAGTTCAGTTAGGTGAAGACGCTGACAAGATGCAGAGCCTTCTGGACACTGAGTGGCGACTTGAGAATTTTCGGGATGCGTTCCTCACCACCCAAATGCAAATTGTTGCTCCAGGATTGGTCTTCAACGGTACTACGGCTATTAATAGACAGTATAGTGGTTGTGTGTCGACCACTTCACTCACTTGAGAAGTAGAATCAGCCCTGGTGGCTTAGCGGCCGATAAAATTTCTGCACGAATAACAGAGGCTCGACTGGCTTTTGCCAGCTTACGCCACCTGTGGCGCCGTCATGATATCCGGTTGTCCATTAAAGGTCGCGTGTACTGCACAGCAGTCCGATCTGTTCTACTGCATGGCTGTGAAACATGGCCATTGAAGGTGGAAGACATGAGAAGGCTTCAAGTGTTTGACCAACGTTGTCTTCGTAGTATAGGCCGTATTCCATGGTGTCACCATATGAGTAACGCAGAAATCAGGCATAGGGTTTTAGGAAGAAGCGGCAAATCAGTTGATACGGTTGTGAATCCCCATCGACTGAGATGGTTTGCAAGGACATGTGTTACGTGTGCCCATTCTCTATCTGCCTCGTCATACAATGTCGATCGAAGTAGGTTCAGGTTGGAAAAAGGCTCGAGGTGGCCAGACTAAAACATGGCGTCAATGTTTGAAGTCTTCGACTGTTGGTTTGAGCCATGTTGGGCGATGCAGACTAGCCAGTTGGGGTCCGCGAGACAAGAGGAACCAGTGGTTGGAGACTCTAGATGATATGGCTCGGAACCGATGTCAGTGGCACAGATGTATACATACATTATCCTCATCTTAACGACGCTATACCGAATTTCACCATTTTCTCATTCTTCCTTTCTCTCTTTTCGTACTTAGTATTTCTTTTGGCTGAAATTTTTTATCTTTATCTTGCACCTCACTGCCTTTTTACTTGATGTAATAATATGAGCTGCGGCAACTCGGACCGTGTGACATTAATGCCTGGTCCTATGTTGATATTGATAATGATGAAGGAGGGAGGTGGATAGTGGTCTGAGGGAACTTGAGTGCTGAGAGTTGTGAGGGCAGTTGACACATCCCAGCTTCCCACACCGTGGAAGGTTAGGTCTTATTGAGGTATCTGAAAAAGAAGGGTTAGTGAGTAATCGCAGAGCCTTTGAGACATCAACTAGAGGCCAGTTACGTATGGCCTTTTTTGATGCCTTGAAAACTGGCCTATATTATGGAAGGTATGGTTGGACATAAGTCCTGTGGTTTTGGACTACCACCAACCACTGGTAACTGATCTAAGCCGCCATAATGCATTATTTCATTATTTGAGTAGTAGTAACTGCTTTTTGTCTAGTAACTATCCAACAAACCTTTCTGGCATAGTAGGACCTCAAGGGAACAAGCGTCCCATCAGCATAGCTCGTTAGGTCATCCTCATATACAAGCGCGACCACTACATCAAGGTAGCAGCTATCGGTCGGTCATCAGCAACTAGCCTGTTCGCGTTGATCCAACTCTCCAAGTAAGTGAATTGGATGACACAACCCATCACCTCACTTCAAATCAATAAACTGGGAGTATTTGTAACAGACCAGTACAGAAGCATCATCTTATATTTGACAAGTGCCAGAGAAACTCATGCCAAACATACTCAGATTCCTCCTCAACCCATCCAGAAGACCCTGCACTGCATCAGCCTCTTCACCTAGCAGGACAACATCGTCTGGACAATTTAAGTCAACCGCATGCATGACCTGCAAACAGTAGATCAATCCCTGTTTATTCAGATGTGCCTACACCCATATACATCAGTAATTAATTCTATGACGACGTCTAATAGGAACAGTAGCAGTGCATATCACTCAAATACACCACTATCTGTCCCCAATCCAGATGATAACTATCCATACACCCTTCCTTACACGACTCCATCAGTTCAAGTAGAGAGCTTTCATTAGCATCATATACTCGCTCGGTACTCCACGTACACTGAAACACTGCAACAACATCTCACAGTCAACAGAGTCAAACCTCAACTTCACGTCAACTAATATGGTAAGTGTCGGCCACTTGTAAGCGTGTCTGTGTTCCACAACCTGTTGGAGGGTAAAAATATGGTCGACGCACTCTCGTTCACGTCTGAAACTTAGCTGGTTTCCTCGAGTTCGCTCTTCTTCGGCTCCAGTCAGGCGTCGTATAACTATGCACTCTAGGATCTTTTCTACACAATAATAGTCAAATTAATTCCCCAATCCACCTTCTCATAAACTGAGACAATCAGTGAAGTACACCAGGCTGACAGCACTGCCTCTAATTCCCACATACTACCTAGTACCTTCATCACTTTAGTCAGCAATTCCCTACCTCAATCCTTGAAAATATTGAGTGACAGACTGTCAGGTCCTGCTCCCTTGCATAGTTCGATAAAGCCTTCTCAACTTCAAGGAAAGCTTGAGGACCAACATTCAGGATGTGACTGGACAGTGGGTAACCGAAGAGCAACTGGAGGTCAGCAGAATTATCCCATAATCATTA